CGTTAACATTATTTAGATGCTAGAATTATTTAATTTGAAAATATTGTACAAGGAGTAAATCTGTTGAAATGCTACACCGAGTTAAAATTACTATTTGGAACAAAGATTATTACTACTGAAAATGTTTATGAAAAATAAATTAAACTGAAGTCAAAATATCAAAGCTTAGTTTTAGTATTCGCACAATGAAAGCCCCATAAAACACTCCATGGTCGGGACTTTCTTTAGCTCACTACCATCAAACCACTTCTATTAACGCTCAACTCTAAGAAGGGCATTCCAGTAGGAAAGCTAATCGTCTTTAGAAGTGGACTATTTTTGGGCTTCAGTTTCTCAATAAAATGAACAAGAGATTTTTCAGACAAACTGAACTATGGGTGCACAACAAAAGTTCCTTGTTTATCGATTAACACCAGACCAGTCAACAAATGAACTGAAGAAAATATGTTTAGAAGCAAAATGTGTCCTTTTGGATGATCCACCTCAATGATTCAGAACACAATTTAGGCATAAGGATCAACACAAGTTTGAACTAAGACACTTCTTAGCTGGATAGTCAGTATGGCTTCATGACTTTCGAGATAGTTACAATACAGAAAACAGGACTAGCAACTTCCAACAGCGACTGGAGGATTGCTGTAGTTGAGTTTCACTCGAAGTCATCCACGAGAGCTTGACGATGGAGACTCTTCAGGATGAGTCTGTTGTTTCAATAGGGCTGTAGTTCCGCTGCACACAATGGTTTGTAAGAAACTAACTTAGGAGATTACTGAAGCGTCTTGACTACATCTAGGTAATTTAGTTCACCATAGTACGAAAAGATGGGCTGATAATATGTACTTTTGACTTCACTGGCGAAGGTGAGACGGGAAATAAACCTATGACTTTTAACTCTGCATGGTGAGTTACCACTTTAGCAGGTAGTTAATATTTCGTAGATAGTTAAGCCAGTGTATAGCATACATACAATACACAGGGCGTAAACTCTTTTATCATATCCGTGTTTACCAACAATTATCACTGCTTTCAATTTGCACACGCGGTCAAAGTCTGCTAGCAGATATTAATTTCAGGTGGAAGTTTACATCCAAATTTTCCCTCTCAACTTTCTTGAAACAAATCATACTATGCATTTTGAAGCATTTTAAAAATGCTTTCAATAGGATGTTTTGCAAATTAACAACAAAATAAGAAAGAAACATCACAGGAGATGGTAATGGGCTTTTAATTGCACATGAGTACAACATCATATGGCTATGCCCAAAATAATTGGTTCCACTTCCGGACCTTCGTACTGACTGAATAAACCACCAAAATTACACATACTTTTCTATTCAATCTCTTTTTCAGATCAGACAACAACCGAACAACAGCTGGTTGTTATATGTTATTAGCTTAGCATACTGTTATTATTAATATGCAGAGGTGCTGTAATTATTTTATCCAAAAATACTGGACAGAATGCGAACTTAGTGTGATAATTTTCTTGGTTGGGGCTATCAAAGAGATACAAGGCGCGCATTTCGTTCCATTTAGAAATCTCCAGCAGAATCCCACTGGGTAATGAGGTTGCCACAGGGACTCGAACCTCATGTCCCAACTAGGATAAAATGCGTTTCGTGGGTTCCTGTGCTAGTTGCAACCAAGCAAATTATCATAATAAATATTCAGGCAATATCAAGACACCTGCATAGGAGCCCATATGCCAACAGAGGTCGAGCAATTCGATCCAGTATAACAACAAAGGATAACAAATATATAAGTAAATACAAACCAAATTTGTTGAAACACTACATCCTGCGAATTCCGTACCATACCAACTATAATGTTTGGAATAAAGTGATTACTACTATTCAGCACTAGTATAATAAGAGGAAGAACTTCCTGAAATCTCTGTCATTCATATTTGCAGCCGCAGAATTTCTTTTGACAGAACCCTTACATACTAGCACGATCGTCATAAATTAAACCTGATATTGGTCTGATAGCGAATTTATCTATGAAAAGTAACTTCGAACTAGATATTTTTGTTACTTGCTCTGTATATAAATAATTGCGCTGTTTTATCAGCATCAAACTATTTAATGTCATTCAGTTTTCTGATATTCGTCTAGTGAGGGACTTATGAACAACCTTAGCATGCTGATCACCCCATATCATTAAGAACTGACATGCAATCTGAATAGTCGTTCCTGATCGACTGCAACAAATACAACTTGTAAAATCATTGCGTATTAGTTTTGCTGGCTTAAAAGGAGACCTTAACAAATAAAGATACCAAAAGATTGCAAAATGTAAGATTAAGACTGAGCAATTCATGAACTGATGTGTAATATTTGAAACTGGACAGAGAAAGCGTCAAGGTTTGTTTACCTTAGGTTATACTGTAAAACCGTTGAGTTTTATTCCCTTTGAGCCTAGCTCCCAAAGGCCCTCGCATCTGTTCACAGCCTCCGCCAGAAAAGTAGTATTCACTGCCTTCACGTGGTGAGGGTGTTTTCTACAGAAGTGAAAGGGCGAATGTCAGGCGCTAATTACCTGATCAGCGGATACTGAGGGTAAACCTAGAGGGGTTAGAAAACCCTGATTCCTATTGGTGCACACCGCTCCAGATAGAACGAATGACGTATGAACCTATTTCAGTCACCGGCAACCATACGAATGAAGCTCCTGATGTTGCTCCACTGCCTTGTGTACTAGACGTTAAGTCAAAGGCTTGGGGAGTGGCACCCTAAAATAACCACCTGCTCCGATCTGGTCACCAAAGCAGTATCTCAGCAATCACATAAAATTAAAATATACAATGAAGATTGTGAAATACTCATCAAATAACTGATTATTCGATTTACTGTTATTATATTGTTTTTACATATGAACTGTATTTTTTATTGCTATTTTCGCTTTCTTTATCTTCACTTCTCTCACTGCTCTCCACTGCTTAAACTTCTAGTCTGTTTGTACCGTTTTGAGTCGCTAAACAGTTGCCCCGTAAAGATGTCCTTCAATGCGACATCTGACACAGCCATCCTGAAACCACGATTGACGTTTAAGCTAGACACCTTCAACATTCGTGCAGATAGGACAACAGGCAGGTTTGGCTAGGACTTCGGAAAGCATCGTTATTGATGCATGCTGCATCTCAGATACCCGCATGCAAGATCCCAGTGAAGTGCTTCGAATTAGTTTCTCATCTGTCAGCTCGAAAAGTACGTTCCATGTGCGCTAATCCGGGGACCCTGTGGCATCGATGTCGCACAAAGCTCTTGAGCCGAAGCTGTACTAGTCGACTGGATCTCCACCAACATCTGTGTGATGTTAGGCTAGAAGGTTTATGTCGAGTAAAAAGTAACCGGCAAGAGAAACGATGTCCTTTTTCTATCTCTTCCTCTGCTCCAATAGATCGCAATCCGAATGCAACCAGGGATGAATTATATCATCAACTAGGTGAGCTTCTCAACTAAGTGGACATAAATGCGCAGGTAGGGTATCTAGGTTCAGAGAGAGTAGTTTAGGTGGCTAAGAAAGACTAGTTGGCCGCAAGTCGGATAATGGGGATCATATTCTGCAGCTTTGCGTAGATCACAACTTATTTCTACCAGTACTACTTTCCGGTACAGCCATTACCGTTGTGCTACTTGGCGTCCTCCTTTTGCCACACAAGCCTAGACTTAAATAGATCATACTGAAAACAGCTACCGATAGCGTAGACGAATACACGGCTGCCGCACCATATGGAGTACTTTTCTGGGCTCTAATGTGTTCTAAGCTAGTTTTGAGTTCCGGTGGTTAACTAAATCGTCATCCTAAACAGGTCGATGCAAGCAAATTAGTCGCACCCAATACTACAGCCAAATATCTTCTTCCTGAGATTGTTATATTATTTTGTGGCACATTTTTTGGTTCCCCTGCTGAACAATGTTTGTGTTAATAATAATAATGATAGATCATATAACTGTAGTGTTTTACTCTCTGTGATCCCAAGTTATTCGTACGTAGCCTCAGAAACGGTTCCACTTTGTTTTATTTCCTTGAGGGTATTTGTTATCTGTTCCTCTAAGTAATATTGAAAAGCATATTTCGGATTTCAAGCTTTAAATATTTAAGAAAGTAAACTTCACTTGGTGGTGTGCAGGAAAACCATCTTTTCAATATTTAGGGAAATTCAAGTAACATATAACAATAATGTTCGTTGTTCAGTGACTCCAAAAGAAACTTGGTAGTTGATTCGTTCGACTATCAATTAATCCATATATGTACCACAACATTGTTTTGGAAAATAGGAGTTTGAAGTGCAATTGTATATGAGTTTTTCAAAACAGTTATCATTCAACAAAAAAACACCAAAGCAACCACAGTCATTCAGTGAATAATATTTCGGTAAAATGTATATTTCCGTATACCAAATTTTCACTAAAATGCTTTATTCAGCTTTCTCAATGATTGGTTAAATGCACCCACGCACGAAAAACATTTACATTGATAAATCACTGATGCCTCTTGACTTCTCACCGTAGTGACAGTGCATTACTTATCTTACCAATAACGCTGGTTCTCTTTCAGATTTCAGTAAGCTTCTTTGAACGTACTATGAAAACCTTCATTCAGGTAACCATATTTCATTGGTTTCGCATAAATTTTGGGTCAAATCGATTGGAATTCACAATATGCTAAATGGTGCTAAAAGCAAACCACCAAAACTCACTGAATGTATTCATGCAGTACAAAAAGCTGTCTAATTACTAGACTTCTTATAACGAACAAGCTGAACAAACGTTGTCATGATACACTCAATTTCACTTTCAATTAAACAAATGTAAGTAAATGACAATAATAATAATTGTTGTGGTAAACAAGAACTCCGAGAAGCTTTGCACACATATCTATCGTCACGCCTATATCCTTATCTCAAATGAAATTATGGATTTTCATAGCCAACTTTGAGCTCCAATATACTATGTTTAATGACTCCACTCCCAGAAAGTAAGACAAAACTGCAACACTTTTTCAAAAAATATATATTCGTTTAAGTAATAGACCAAAACAACAAATAGGGTTTACATCTTGACTGACTAAATGTGTGACAGAACTGCTGACAACAAAGTGGTAAAATAATTTACAAGATTCAGTTTTAGTGTGCGAAAAACGTGAAGACATTGTGAAGTCAAATGAAATTTTTCGACATATTTTACAAATAAAACCATAACCAGTTAAAGTTAGCTGATTAGGAGTCAGGTAGTAGTTGTGGAATATACACTTTTTCCGACTTATTCAATTCAGTGAACTCTGAACATTCTAAATCGTATTCAGTAGCTTTGAAAGGTGAGTTTCATTAAGACATGCACTATCATCGTCATCATTATCTTCAATGTCATCCAATACTAATTCCTCCGGATTTTGACTTACAATACTACAATAAAGACTAGCATTTCGCATCGGAGTATAATCAGGTTCGACAGTACTCGGTACAAAAGCGCTGTTCAGTGGATCATATTCTATATTACTATTATTGATTAGGGAGTTTGAAGGGACCCAACTACTATTTACGTCTGATGAGTATTCTGGTACTCTCGTACATGTTTTATCCTTTGCAGGTACATTCACTACATCTTCTCCAACTTCTTCATCAACCTCCTCGTTGTCGTCATCATCATCGTCTTCTTCTTCATCATTTTTAGACTGCATTTGTGCTGACAATTCTAACAAACTGCAAGACTGTTTCCCAAGGTAAAACGCATTTGGATTCACTAAGTCAAGCATAGCACATATCAGTTCCGTTTGTGGGTTGGAAAAAAGCTGTTGCTGTTTACATAAAGTATTTGCCTGTTGGACTAGGCTCATCGGTGTAGATGTCACGTTTGAATTGACATAGTTACCTTCATTCGGTTTATAGATAGGCGCAGTACGTTCAAAATTATCAGGTACTTGAAAGTTCCCACCAAAAGGTTCATACAATGCTCGGATTTCCTCGTCGGTAGCAGAAAAGTCACATCTATACAAAGGTTGATTATAAAAACAGTTAATACTTATATGATGCGAGAAAAAATAATATTCAGAGCCTGAATTTCTATCATTGAGAACAATATATCTGCGTATACCTCATTTACGGTACTAACGATCGTAGTGATGTGAAATCAGGTCAAAATGATGACAAATTCCATAGCTTTAATATAAATACTATAGAGACACTTTCCAATGCCACACATATGAATTGATCAACTTCTTAAAAGAGACACACAAAATAAAAGTTGAACCTAGCACATAAACCAACTACTTCATTTCATCACACCGGAGAGCCGCATGCGAAGAACAAGAGGGTAGAAAAAGAGTGATAAAGCACCCAGATTTCTCATTAACACCTGAAATGACATGAGTTGGCAAATGCCAGTCGAACCGGTCCTTTTACATCCGAACTGATAATACAATAATAATAACATATTTGCTTTATTCCGAACCATAGCCTTGCTTACAGTACAGAATCTCAGCACGTGATATTATTACCCGTTGTACAACATTTTTCAAATGTATATTAAAAATCCTGCTACTTTACAGTATTTAATAAGGAATAACATGATTTTTTAAAATGTTTAATCAATTCAGACTCATGATAACTGTTCGCTATATCAAAGTTGATTGATAAGACTACGTATAACATGACTTTCTACCCACAATACACAAGCTAAATAAGGTATGGTTGAATTTGTATGTAGTTATACTTACATAAGGTTTGATATATTTGCTTCTTGTTTTCCCTGAGGACATATATGGAGAGAGATAAAGGTGCAGAAGATGCTTGTCATCAAATAAGATATTTTTAGCTAGCTGTCTACAAGACTTTAGATGCCTAAATAGACCACATTAATCAGCACGGTTAGCGGTGTATCAGTCCCTCTACCAACAGCTTTCAAAATCCTACGCAATACCCCGTAGTCTTTTTTCTCGCAGTCCAGATGAGAATGGGGGCAAACAATAAGTAAGTACAAGCAAAACACAGGAATTAATAGAACATAAAAACAGAGGCTGAGTTATGCCATACAGTCTGAGTTTCCCTATGTAAAAGGTCAAGTGAAGGATTTTCCTTAAAATCGGTAAGATATGATGGGACCAAGAAAGTGTTACGGATGCCTCATCCCTGAGAAAAATTAACTTATAGTGTGTACATTATCACTGTAAGATTTGAACCTCACTTTCACGTCCTTTTCGCGCCATGCAACATCAATTATTTTATGGCGGTTCAAGATACTAAAGGCTGATCGGTTCATTTTACACTTTTATTGCGCTGTCTTCCTTAGCTAAGACTATCTAAGGTTGTATAAACGACTAAGTTTTCAGCTACAAGGACGATTCGGTTGAAGTAAATATAGTTCTAATCCTGTTTTCTTCTTCTTCTGATGTCGTTTGAATATCATGCCGAGAGGCCATTATTCTACCGTTAATCGTCTAGTGTGCAGGCATTATATCGTTATATATACCGCTGATCAAGATCAAAAGAAAAGCATCAGCCAGGATGGATCATGCTTGATACATTCTCTACAACAGCCACTTATAAAACAAGAGTCATGGAACTAAAGCAAGTTGCAAAGGTCTTGTTCATATCTTAAGCTAAAATTAACGATCTAACATTTAGAGGGATTTGGGTGTGAGGGTATTTAAGGAAGACCAGTGGCCAATTTCAATCAAAAAGTTGTTAAACTGAGAACAATCTGGGGAGATGACGGGCATGCATACTGTAAGACCATCTGCATACTTAACAAAGGTAGCTTTAGTTGAGGTCGGTAAGTCATTCAAAGAGAGAGAAGAAAAGAAGGAAGAACAGCACCCTGAGGTAAACTGACTCTATTAAGTAGCCAAGTAGAGTGCTTACCTCTGCCTTCGCTCAGAAACATAAACACGAAGGCAGTTTGCAACCCAGGACTCAATGTAGGTCCCGGCCAGCCCATTTAATAAGAGGGGTCTGCAGAAAGAAAAGGAGAAGTATGATCTAAGGAGGCAGATCTAACACCAGTGTAACCATTTCACTCAAGATTCTCAGATTAACAGTCAGTTGTGAAGCGTCAGGTATGAAACACATGTCAAATCAGATTTTTCTCCTGTGTTCAGAAAACCCTGCATTCTGTAATCAACTTCGCCAAACAGTATAGGGTCGCTGGCATTCTCTAGATCAATTAGGTGCTCTCTCACGCTGTTTTCCCCCTATGGGTATTGCTGTCACGTTCAGATTCATGCTCACCTGTCTTTTCTCTTAATACACACAGTACGTTCTCTTCTTCCAGTTGAGTACACACAGGCTTCATTGCTCCCTGTTTCTGGAACCGGTAATAGCGCAGATAGAAACGTGCCATAACTGAGGTATGATGGGCGTTCAAACACGTAGTTTAGATAGAGCAGCAATCGTCGACTCATTATTTCCAACGATGCCTTATATCAATATGGTGTATCTGTGTCCATTGTTGGTTTGATCTTGGCGAATGCTGTGAAACACTGTCTCCCCATATGCTTGAAGTTAGTGCTGGTCAGAAACAAGTGATTGTAACAACAAAATTCCAAAAACGAGCACTGTTGTCAGTTCGTTAGTACTCAATAGCGATGATACCTCTAAGATGCCTTCCCAATCGGTCCAGCTTTCCTACTTGAGCTTCGAAGTCATCTGGTATTAAGACTATATCAGAATGTTTTATCCTCTGTAGCAAAATTGACAGTTTTTGGTCGAAACCAAACTTTGAGTCATCTGAATTACAGTCGGTGAGGACGTAGGCGGAGATTATGAATAGGCATAGACAAGTGTGATGACCCATTCCAGTTCTTACAGATCCATTCAGTCGGTTAGCACACAGACGGTTGCTGATCAGCATACGATCGAGAAGTGCGCTTTTCGCTTTATGATTTAATTCTATGCATTCACCAGGGAGTCCCCAATTGAATCTCTATATACTCGTAAAATGAATTTCGCAGATTGACTAGGTGAGGTCAAGTGAGCAATCTCCCTTGGGTCCCATATGTGTGTGTCCGAAATATCATACACCCATGGTCTGAGATTTAAGGGTTTGTCAAGATATTTGTGTAGTTCGATTCGGGTTACGCTTTGGATGCTGTGAACTTCCATCCAGCATTCTATTGGCTGGATGTTGGCTGAAACTGTTAGAAATGGTTGGAAGGTGTAAAGTTGACTAAGTTGTAAGAAGTATAATATTTGTAGTGGGAAGATAAAGGCAAAGGAAGTCGATCATGGTTAGTTTAGACTCGCGTATTGCTGGAAACGTGTGAGTAGTTGGTGTCTCCCACCTGCCCAAACCATGGAATTTGAGTCTGAAAGGTACTTGAATCAGTTTTCTACGACCACAAAGCCTATGAGACATCTACTAGAGACCAGTTATACAGGAGCTTTTCAAGATTGTTGAATTGAGATTTGAATGTGCCAACGCCACACAACAAAAAACTATACGAAGAGCACAGGAAGACCACAGGGCAGGGAGAAGTGTGAAATTTTTCCGACCGGTCTTTTTGCATCTCCCCCTCTCCGTAGGAAGGTTGATACCCTCATGTGATTGTTAGTTATGTAGGAAACACCTGGACGCTGCCACACCAGTAAGACTTCGCTCTCAGAATCCAAGTACAGGTTAGCTACTCCCACTATGACTGTAATAGTTTTTTTGTCTTGGCGCTACCCGACAGAACTCTAAGGGATAAGATGACCTTAAGAAATATGCGTTCCAGCCGGTGGAGTTCCCTGGTCCACTGGGATATGAAAGCCACACCAAAGCATCAGGGTAGTACCTACCGGTCAGGAACTTCTTAAAATAATATAACTTTGATCATAAACCGTACATTTTCTCCTTTATAACTAACTATAAATCTACAGAACACTATTCTTTTTCCTATGTATCTTCTTTTCCCAACAGATATGAAACAAGTCAACCTAAATTACTGAAAGTAATGCAGTCTTCTATATATATTATCATTAACACTTACTATATTACAAGTGATGTTTTGCACAGAAACGATTTATCATGTAAGGAATAAAAAATAAATTAAGTACTTGAAGGTATACTGACCAACAATGGACTGGATGATTTGAAAAACCTTGGCCACCGAGTTAACATGATTCATCGTATAAGGTGTATTTTTACTTGTGTAATCCCGACGTAGTATATTAGAACAAATAACAAAATAAACAAATGTTTCGTATTATTCCTCGATGTTTCTATCTTTCTAGGAAGATCCTTTTCAAGAGTATGAACCTGACATTAAGTTTTTAGGTTCATATTCAAGTACTTTCAATTGCCAAATAAAATTCTCGGATTATACAAAACTCAGTTCACAGTGATTTTCCGAATTTCAAAATAACTCTAGCACCAAACATGCTGAGATTTACGGATATATAAACTATTTCTGATGTTAATTTTTTAACAGGTTCACAATATTAATGACACTATTTAATCAAGTCTTGGTCATAGTGCATATAAAATCATGGAAAGGTCCATTCGGAGTTGATGATATATATATATATATATATATATATATATATATATATATATATATATATATAAACTAACCGCTCGCTTGTTTCTTTCTCCGGAAGGATACAAGGAACCTTACCGGTAGACATTAAATGATTAGTCGACCTCAAGATGGACAACCATTCAGGATCAAGATGCAGTTTGGTACACGTTTCATTGCCAGAATCACCATCATTAGCAGATTCATCCAACTTTGACCCTTCAATTGATTCTTTGAAGTTAGACTTGAATTTAGGAAGACTAACAACTACTGGATCATCTTCCCCAGGTTGGGAACAAAACGATGAAGATAAATTGGAATCAGAATTCACCGAACTTTCATCGTACTTTAATTCAGGTTCAATATCCAGGAATTGTAGATAGTGACGGTTGGGCAAGCATTTATCCAGTGCCAAGAAACGGGTAGTACGTGGTTTGTTTGTTTTAGAGTCCTGGAAAATATTCGCACAGAACAAACATCACCCACCAACACACATTAATTAGCTACGGACGTCAAAGGTGTATGACATTCATTTCATTGAAAATGAAATATACAAACTACAACAAAGAAACATTGGAAGAACAAGTTGTATGAATTCAATTTCTCTGAGAGCGAAACTGTCACGGAAAGTCATTGATTTAGTTATTCGCGCAAAATCGTACGCATGCTACGTGATTAGACGCTCTACTGAAAATATATTCAGCTTAGACTGATGTACTATGCAGCTAGTACGCTACATAAATAGTTATGAATATTCATTCAACTTAGAGGTATATTTCAGACAACCTTGAGGTCAATCTACAAGGTTGTGCATCGTCACACCAGTAAAAGTGCGATCGCCTAGTATACAAATGCAATGAGTTGACGGTATGTCTTAGTGCTGATGATTAGAAGAAGCGAATCATGCGATGAAAGTTATTAAGCAATGACTCATAACTTGAGCTCTTACTAAGACGATTACGAACAAGTCAAACCATTATTCAACTGGATAGTTTTCAGAGCAATCAAGTGATTCCAAGAAAGTTAATACCGAAAACTGAAGTCAGCTAAATGGATCACGAAAACTAACTAGTACTGGATAGCTGTTTCTACCTCAGCAGTGTATATCCACAAAACAACATTAGATCCTGTATTTCTTAGTTTTTAATAGTTTTCAGCTGTCATCCTATAATGAGAATTATCTTGAAAGCTGGAGTGAATCGCAAGTAGATAATATACCTATTTAAACTGGGTGATGATTGAAGGTGAAATGAAAATTTGGACCGCGGCCGGATTCGAACCAGTGACCACTGGATCTGCCAAACTATGGCTATCTCAGAAAGTCAAATGATACCTATTTAAATTATTCATATACAAATCGGAACCATAATTTTCGGTTAAATGTACTGCGGTTAGTAAAATATTTATATGTCAACAACCAGATAAATACACGTGAACAACGGATTGATCTAAGTAGATATATCTCAGATAGGTACAAAAAGAAGGAATCAGAATGAGGACAAAGGATGAAATGGTAATAAATAGGGAATTACGGCTGAAATACTTCAACTGCGGAAGTATGCGTCTCAAATCGTTTTTAACTCAAGTGTAAACGATTACAGAAATTAACGGATAAGACAACATCAAACCCTACAAGTATACAGTTTTTAACTCAAAGTAATAAATAATAAATGAAATATGCTTGTAAATCCCAATTAAGTAGAAAATAAATTTCTAACGTTTCACGACTTTGTGGAAATCGCTTCTTTTGAGAATAAAACTTGTACAAGTTATCGATTGTTTGGATAGTAAATGGTAATGAATCAGATCACATTATCTTTACATGATAATAATACGAACATCAATTTCATTTTATTAGTCAGGAAGTTTTCAAACTTGTCTTTCCTATCCATTATTAGTCCGGAGATCAAGGTGATGTGAATGTGTGCACATGTGACTGGGTGTGAATGTGTAAGAAAAATACTATGGATGACAAATTCGGTTTGTATGTGTGTACACATTTTTGTTATGATCATTGTATATGATGTGCTGTTTTCGGAAATACTGTCCAGGTTGGTTGGACAGTTGGGACTACACCTTTCAGTTAAGTGCATTAGGATTCAACATAATGTGAAATGTCTCAACTATTCTTCTCTCTTTGTAGTTTGAATAATTTTAACACTTTCAATATCGATTTTGTGACTGTGATAGATGGCATGAACCACCGACTGGATTTGTGAATTCTCTTGTTTTACAGGATTATTTGGGGTTCGTTTTGTGTAACTTGCATATTCTTTAGCCAGAATGAGGATTTCACGGTATGATTCCCCAATATAATAGGCATCATAATCGACACAGCCTAATTTGTAGACACAATTTTGTGTGGAGGTAAAAGGAATTTTATCTCTTAAGTGGACTAGAGAATTCCTGTGTGTTGGTTGTCTTGTAAAAGGCTCTAACTTGGTGCTTCTTTAAGATTCTTTGTGGATCTTTAGTTGTACCTTGGTAAAATGGTAGCAATACAGCGCTAATCCAAAATCGTCACATGAATTTCCTCTTGGGTACGTCTGTTCATGTTTCTGAATCTTTTGAATGACATTCTTTGGGTAGTTAGTGGTATATAGTACATCTAATATGTTAATTCCATTTCTCTGTCATCTTCATTCGTGATGAGCTCTGTGGTTGCCGTCAATAAATTTCGAGCAAGTGAAAGTTTAACACTGAAAGGATGTGCTGAGTTAAAATCAAGATATCCATTTGAATGTGTTGGTTTAGGATAAGTCGATAAACTTAGACTTCCGTTTCCATTCCTTTTAACTAAACAGTTTAGTAATGGTAGTTCATCACTTGCATTTTCATATTTACATGTGAATTTAATGTGTGCAGAATGAGCACTCGTTAATTTCGAAAAGGTTCTGAGGCCAGATCTTCTTAAAATTACGAATGTATCATCTACGTATCTGAGGTAAATAAGTGGTTTGATGGCGTTAGAAAAGATGATTGATTCAATGTGGAAAAGGAATAGGTTCTCAACGATAGGGGACACCGGAGAACCCATGGATACTCCATTAGTTTGTTTGTATAATTTTGCTCTATATATGAAGAGTGTCGACTTTAAATAGAATTTGAGTGCTTTCATGATGAAGCTGGGGTTCAACGGAGATCTGTCTGCCAACATTCTAGCGATTCACCAATAAACTCTAAACGTTTTTTCAATATAAGTACTAGTATACAGTGAAACTCTTGAACTGGATTCATACGAGCCCTTAATTGAGTTAATAACAGAACGTTGGAGAGGATTTAGTAGTGATGCTACATATTTTGATGAAGCATTTGTTGGAGAATTTGCAAACTCTACTATCGGTCTCAGAGGAACATTTGATCTATGCATTTTTGGTAATTCATAGAAACGTGATGTGCATGATTTTCGAGGTGGAGAAAAGCAAAATGAGTCTCCGATGAACGATCTCAGTTCCTTTCCGTTTTTAATCTTCTTCATTGTTTGGCAGTTTTTTGATCTAATTTCTTCATAAGGACCGGTTGAGAGATTTTCATATGCTTTACGGTCGTAGTCAGTTTTGTTTATAATCACTGTTACATTTCCTTTATCTGCCTTGGTAATTACGGCTTTTTTTCCTTTCGTAGGTTTTGGAGGGCTGATCGTTCTTCTTTTGAATTATTCGGCGGTATATATACTTGTTTGTGCAGAACATGGGGTGTTTTTTGATGTAAAATGTGTCTTTATCTGGTAGTTCTTCGATAACTGGTTCGATGATGGGTGCTACTTCTAGAGTGCTGAGTAGTTTTATTCTCTGAAGAAGCGATTTCTACGAAGTTACGAAACGTCAGAAATTTATTTTCCTACTTTATTGGGATTTTACAAATATATATCATTTATAGTCCATTTACCCAATGCTCAACTTATTCAACTCTATCAGGTTAAATTTTCATCCTGAAGTTTATAAAAGTAATAAAATTTATTGAATAAAATAATATACGATAAAAATCTAAATCTGAATAAAATTCCAGTTAGTTGACTTACTGAATGCTCTACAAAGGCTGAAAATTTGCAGTGTAAATGAGCTGAAAACCAATATCGAGGTTTTAAACGACACATTAATTGTTCACCAGGAGGGCTTCCTAAAGCATCTGACTCAATCTCACTGCGAAAATGAGGTTTCCGTCTAGACAAGTGATTTGCATTTCCATAGTGATATATTCCTCGAGGCCAATCATGGCTTAGTACTATGTCTAAACGTCGACGAATCTGTCCCAGTCGAAAAACTTCTATATTCCGTAAATGGTAAACAGAGCGCTTTGTCGCTTCTGAATATGGTGCGTGTTCGTAATGACACATAGTATAATCATGCTGTTTGTATATACCTGATAAACCAGCTATCCGTAATCCAGCAAACTGAACGACACTAGCGTAACCTAAAAGGAAATAGCAAGTTGACATAATACTCAGTAAATCAAAACAAATTAATTTTTATAAGTTTTCTAAGTTTAGGACATGAATATACTTCTATGCTAGGCTACGTGTGTATCAGCTGTTGGTCGACTGTGCTATTCAAAACTGGGAAAGCGAAAATATGACTACTAGCTTTAGTATCTTGCGTCCAAAAGACTACTGAAATGAATACCGCAAGCAAATAGCACAGAGTACGCTGGTCAAATGAAGAGTCATCCACTGGATAATTCTTACTATTTCTAAATCCAACCGTTCAAACTACCTCAATATGACCGCAGTTGGACAATCGGATTGATAATTAGAGCCCATAGTGTATGTTAGCATAGAAAAAGTAGGAAATTAAATCAAAGCAAACTTGAATAGCCACAAAAATACTTTAAGTATGTGAATCAATTGAACTTTTGGCGTGGGCCCGGTAATTGTGGCATCATATGAAGCGACAAACTAGGCAATATCATTCAGTTGTGCTATAATCCACGGAAAACAGATGTAAAACTAAATAGGTAGTCTGGATACCTAACCGTATGCTCTAGTATGCCGACAGGTGTCCGAGTGAAGAACCTTAAACAAGATGGAATGACATGACATGATTACAAAAAATCATTTGAAGGTCATTTAATGGTGTAATAAGCACAAGAAATATAATTGTTATTGAGACACTCAATAAATGATGACCGATGAAATCAAAAGCTACCTTCAAGTCAACGAAAACGAAAGTCTACCGTAATCCACTGCAGGGCAGAACTATATTTGATATACAACCAATCAAGCAGAAAATCTACCTAGTTCTCTTGAGCGCTGAAGAACTATGAATTTCAGATTCCCAAAAATCATGTTATTTAGTCTAATTTCTCCACAACTATCCAAAAATGATTCCGGTTATATTTTATAGACAGGAACGATTAGATATAGGTACCAGTGGGACGAAATGATGTAAATTTAGACAATAACTGAGTCGCCATTTTGAAATACTTCTAGTAGTAACGTGTCACGATCACTGGTCTATTTTTACCGTGGATTACTTAGAGCAATGTAAACCTAAGAGGAAAACGGTGACTGAAAATCAATACTGCAATCAGTTTGTAACTGGATAGCAGTGAATTGAAGGGTACCTAGAGGTTAGTTGAGTTCTCCTTCAGTGTTTGTTACACTCCGCTGCCTTGTAAACAAACTACTGGTCTGTTTACTTCAGCTACTGTTTCACTAACCGTTGATTGTCGCATATCAGTCTTCATAAACGCTTAAACAACTACTTACTATTACCTTGATCTAGTTGGTTGCCGGTTGTATACACTTATTATATTTGAGGAGAATATAACAGTCGAATAAGAATTCGTTCGTTGAGCGGAATACTTTTATTGAACAGGCTTTATTTCCATTTTATAGGACATCAACACAAAACGTTATACATTTAGTTTCCTTGACAAATTTGAACAATGCAAGAACAAAGATATTTGCAGAGTAGAATGAACTCATTTCATGACCTTTCATCAGATGCAAAACAGACTACGACTGAAATGAAATATTAGTAGTAATAACATAACATAGTTTAAACGCTCAGAAATAAATGGAGATTTGAAATCCAGGATCATTTTATTCTGCAAATGTCTTTGATCTTGCATTGTTCAAATCAACGTAAAAGTTGGAAAGTACTTCTTCCTGAAGAATTTGCTGAGACAGTGTAGCACCACTGAGACAACAATTAGTCTATATCAACATGACGTTTGATAATACTGCATATTGGTCCAACCTCGCCTGGTTAACTAGTTTACTAGTTACTAGCCGGTCCTAAGCCCGGGTAAAGAGGGAAGGTTGGGCATAGGGCTAGCAACCCTACCCCGTAAAACAAATCTAACCGCTAAAGAAACTTCAAAGCACAAACAAAATATAAAAAATGAAAACAAACTTATTCCCCGCTGGAATCGGAGAGGCGAAATGACGCCAGTTGGTGAAAGCCTTCGGGAAGCCAATTGGCCGATGTGTCTTCTCTCGATGAAAGCGAAAGTAAACGTGGGGACATGGAATGTCCGCACGATGTTTGAACCCAGTAAGGCAGCCCAGATTGCAAAGGAGATGAGAAGGTATAACATCGAAGTGCTTGGGATTTGCGAAAGCAGATGGAATGGGAGTGGACTCTCCAAACTGTCAACTGGAGAATCAATAATCTACTCCGGTCACCCAGACGCCAACCACGAGCACACTGAGGGAGTGGCTATCATGATGTCCTCAAGAGCATCGAAGGCTCTCATGCAGTGGGAACCAATCTCCTCCAGGATCATGACAGCAAGATTCAACTCAAAAGGAAGAAAGGTCACAATCATACAATGTTATGCACCTACAAATAATGCAGAGCAAGAGAAAAAGGAGGATTTCTACAGACAACTTCAATCAACACTGGACAAGACGTCAGTTGGCGATATCAAAATTCTAATGGGCGACATGAATGCCAAACTGGGAGGGGACAACACGGGAAGAGAACTAACCATGGGTCGAGAGGCGCTAGGTGAAATGAATGAGAATGGAGAATTGTTTGCAGAATTCTGTGCATTCAACGATTTGGTGATTGGAGGCAGTGTGTTCAGGCACAAAGATATCCACAAAGCGACATGGATTTCACCAGATGGACACACTAAAAATCAAATCGACTTTATCTCAATCTCAAGAAAATGGAGACGCAGTCTACTTAACACAAGGTCAAGAAGAGGAGCAGATGTAGGTTCAGACCACTATCTAGTGCAAGGAACCTTCCAAATCAAGTTAAAAGCCTTCAAGGAAGCTGGTGATAGACCTCAATTCAAGTACAACACTCGGAAACTGAAGGATGAAACTACAAAGGAGATCTTCAAGGCAGCCATCAAGACAAAATGGGAGATATCGAGGAACATCCCTGAAGAAACCTGTGTGGAAGAACACTGGAAGTCTTTGAAAGCTATGTGGAAAGAAACCTGCACAACAGTATTAGGAAGGAAGAAGAAAGAAGACAAGGAATGGATCTCGACGGATACCTGGAAGCTGATAGAGGAGAGGAGGATGGTGAAGCAGAAGATAAACCAGTGCAAGGATGCTCAACGACAAGAGGAACTGAGCACAATGTATAAAACACTGGACAAAGAAGTGAAGAAGAGTGCACGCAAAGACAAAAGACACTTCTACGACACACTGGCAAGTGAAGCAGAACAGGCTGCAGGTAAGAGAGACCTGACGACATTGTATCAAATAACCAGGTTGCTATCAGGGAAGAGACCAACACAGATGAAACCAATAAAAGATGAAGAAGGAAATTTAATTACAAAAGAAGAGAAACAGAGGAAACGATGGGCCGACCACTTCAAGAAGCTCTTGAATCGACCACCACCTGCACTTCGTCCAGAAATACCACCTGCAGCCGCTGAATTACAAGTGAACATAAATCCCCCAACGAAAATGGAAGTCCTGAACGCCATAAAGCTACTGAAATGCGGGAAAGCAGCAGGACCAGATGGAATACCGCCAGAAGCACTGAGAACAGATGCAGAGACAACAGCGGACATGCTCACACCACTATTGCAGAAGGTGTGGAGGGAAGAGAAGGTACCTGACGATTGGAAGAAGGGTTACCTTGTCAAACTGCCGAAGAAGGGAGACCTCAGTGCTTGCAAGAACTGGCGCGGAATCACTCTCCTGTCCACCCCAAGTAAAATATTAAGCCGCATCATCCTGGAGAGGCTTAAAGACGCACTGGATTCAAAACTGCGACCGGAACAGGCAGGCTTCAGGAAGTACAAATCATGTGCTGACCAAATTGCAACGCTTCGTATCATCATAGAACAGAGCGTAGAATGGCAATCAGCTCTATACCTCAACTTCATCGACTTTGAGAAGGCCTTTGACAGCGTCGACCGAGAAGTAATTTGGAAACTGCTTCAATACTACGGAGTACCGCAAACCTTTATCCGCCTCATTCAACAACTATATGAAGATGCCACATGCCAAGTAATCCACAATGGGAAGCTCAGTGATGCCTTTGAAGTGAAGACAGGAGTGAAACAAGGTTGCCTACTATCCCCCATGATATTCCTGATTGTGGTGGACTGGATCATGCAGCAAACAGTAGGCAGCGAGAAGAGGGGGATACACTGGACGACGGAAAAGAACCTAGAAGACTTGGATTTCGCCGATGACTTATGCCTAATGTCACATAAACTTGAAGATCTGCAGGCAAAAACTAACAAGTTGACAGAAGAGGCAGCTAAGACGGGACTTCAGGTGAATATAGAGAAGACAGAAGTGATGAAGATACCGCACCACCACCATCAACAACAACAAACTCCAATCACCGTCAACGGGAGAAACTTGAAGGAAGTAACCTCCTTCACTTATCTAGGAAGCACTGTTTCAACTACAGGCGGGACGGACGAGGACGTCAAAGTCAGAATCGGAAAAGCAAGACAGGCGTTCATTAGCCTGAAACCAGTGTGGAGATCTTCTGCACTCAGCATGTGGAACAAGATACGGATTTTCAACACCAACGTCAAGTCAGTGCTCTTGTATGGCTCAGAGACTTGGCGCGTCACGAAAGGCATTTCCAATAAACTACAGACATTCATCAACAACTGCTTACGCTCGCTGCTGAAGATCAGATGGCCAGAAAAAATAAGCAACAAGGAACTCTGGGAACGAACCAACCAAGAACCTATCACGCAACAAATATGCAGGAAGAAGTGGAGATGGATTGGCATGCACTGAGAAGGCCGACTGAGGACATCACGCGTCAGGCCCTCGAGTGGAATCCCCATGGGAAGCGACGAGTTGGACGTCCGAGGGTGACATGGAGGAGGTCATGCGAGGAGAAAATGAGAGCTTGTGGGCTGTCGTGGGACCAGGTTCAAAAGATCTCAGAGAACAGGATGAACTGGAGACGTGCTACTGAAGCCCTATGTTCCACTAGGAACCTAAGGGACTAATAATAATAATAATAATAATAATAATAATAATAATAAATAAAAATCACATCAGTATTATAAAATAGTGTAGCAAGATGAAAGGCGAAGATTAAGGGGGAAAGTGTATGACAAAAAATCGTAGCAAAACATACAAAGAGAAGATGAGGAGGTAATGCAATTAACGAAATGTACTAAGACTATCGAGGTTAAGATAATGCGTCAGTATATCTACGCTACAAGTGAACAGTTCTGAGTCAAATCACCTTCAGTCCTCAAGTATCGATTTCGGTCATCTTGTAGACTACTACTTGGAAGTCTTCACCTCGCAGACAGCTCAAGCCAAAAATCAGTGACTTGATGGATTGATGCCACAATCGGTCTGGGCAAACCAAACCTTTTTTAGCCTATAATTAATTTCACCTGACATCACTCCTTGGGATGCTAAGATTAGCGGTTATAGCAGACTCTATACGCATGATCTCGTTGTCCGGATAAATGAAATACTGGATTGAATAAATTCACTTCAATACAGGTATAGCTCTTTGGCTTATATACAATCGATATGTTTTTAGATAGACATAATAAAAAAGAAAAACCAATGAGAAATACGAGCGTGGATTTGAGAGAGAAAAAGGGGGCGAAAAGGAGGAACTCGAATTTCTGTTAATGTACGTATTTAGCATTTACTTTCATGGATATCATATTTTTAGTAGGAGTAGACACTGACTAGGTATTCAATACACCGTTCCAAGTCAAATCAGTCAGGAAAAGTTTATTACCTTGTCAATTGGTTCTATGCCTATCTATGCTACATCACCAAGGTGGCCGCTCCACGATGCAGAAAATGCTACAAAAAAGCAGTGGTTCAACACCTGGAGCCTACTCATATCTTCATCTTTAATAATAGTGTTTTACAACCTAATGATATGACAGAAATAACTTAGATAAGTGGGAATTCATCGGTTACTGACCCATCAGGAGTATTTGACAGAGATGAAAAACTTTATCAGTTTGCTCTCGTTCATCAGTGTTGAAAGAATTGTCACTAATTAAGTCAAAGGTGCAGAAATCAATCCGCCCTTTTGAACCTTAAATGACAGTTTACTTACAGGAAGATTAGAGCCCAAACACAATAGTGATTATTGATTTTGTGAAAAACAGTACAATAGTCTTAACTACTAGATGGCAGTTTGGAGAGAATTTTGGCCGAAAGTCGTATTCTACACAATAAGCCTTAGAATGAAGGAATCTGTGCCATAGTACGCTACATCAAGTTGAAATACTAGCCGCTACTTTAATGGAAATACAAAAACGATATCAAACCATGAAAGGATGAGGAAAATCACTTTCCACTAAATTTCTGGATATTTCTTCATGAAATACACTTTCAGTATTTTTATCATCGGAATTCAAGAACAACATCCGATGGTATTTCTGCTGCACTTGATAAGACGTAGATATACATACTCCAGTCAGCTTGTAAGGAAAATATAAGGAAAGTTTAACTGATTTCTCCAATAGTAGCCAATAACAACAGCGTTTATTTGTCTTCCATTCTGAAGCTTAACACAATATGCTGCAACGTCTAGCTTATTGATTAACAACACTCGCGAGCCCCAAGGGTTTCAATTCCTTTTATTAATCAAAATATTGTAATGCAACTCAGTAACCAAATAGATGATATATCTTATACTTTAAGTCCTAGACTCGGAGCTTGAAAACTAATATTTCCACTTCGCTTATCGAACCGCAGTGTAAGTACGAAGGAGCTGAAATCCCTGACTTATTGGCTTACATTGGAAGTTTTAAACCGATACTGTTGCGAAGCATTAGCTGCATTAACACTTCATTTGGAAACATCTTATACACAAAATACCGAGCTTACCCATATACCAAATGTTCGGAGCAACCCAACCCCCATAAGGTAATTCTTGAAGATAACCAGATGCTTCATGATTACCACCGACAAATAGCGTTAGAACAGGAGCTCTATTTTCTTCTGCGTAGTATCTTCAGTAAAATACAAAGTGAAAAGTAGATTTAAAGACAATATCATTTGATAGCGGTTTAAGTATGTCAATTCACAGAATTTTATCCATTTACTTGTATGAAGAACACATGGGCACCAAGAGCTGAGTCCCACCATGATAAAGCAACATTGAGAAAACAAAAAATGAAAGTTAAAAAAGTGGATCGTTAGAGAAGCAGACTGAAACATCCAAACAAGGAAGCTCTAAATACTTTCATTTTACTTCTTGACAGAACAAGAAGGAAGAAAACTGCAGCATGGTGGATTCCGAACAATAACTACTTGCATCTCAAGTTACTGAGCTGCATAATCTCTCAGATTCCATTCAGGAAGTCGTGAGGTAAGCTATATATGGTAACCAAATACAACCATCCTTTATCTCGTTGGTCACCTCCCTACTTCATTGAAGTAGTCCCACAGCACGATAAAACTGAGAGGTGTGGAAACGATGGGACAACATACGTGACACATTTCTAATTCACCGAAACCGGTGTTTCAAGATAACCACACTCTGCGAATGATGATCTCCATTACGTCCAAACGCATGCCACCTCACATCTTAGAAATTAATTTAACAACGGTTTTATTTCGCAGCGATGGAGCACCTACAGTCTATGACACTTTGTTAAGCGGTATAGTTAATTCCATGGCTGCAGTCTCACCTCTATTATGAAAAGAGCAGAGGAGACTGTCTACGCTGAGTCCATAGAGCTTTGAAACTTGAAGTTTCTTACGAACATTCACTTCATTAGGTGGTTCCATTTCAGTAGATGACGGAACACAAGACATATGTCGATATTGCTGGAATGTAGTAATTGATAACATTAAGCTCAGTAGTTTAGCCTAGACAACCGAATGATGGTTCATATTAAAAGGCAAACCGGTGGTTGGAGACTCTTAGTGGCACAGCGCTGAGTCAATGTCGTGCTGGACACGCATCCACAGCTTTTCTTCTTTATAATCAGTATTGAATTACGCCAATGGCTTTGACCTCCATTATTTTTGTCTAGTGGTTTTCGATTGGGTTTTGATAACATTATTTCTATTTTGTATTTTGTCTTGTTGCTTTGTGTCTCAGTATGCGCTGATGTGAGGATTTGCAACCTGAATCATGTTGAAGCAAAACTACGTTCAATGTTGATATATCATACAACTAACAACAGCGATGTTTACATACTGGTATATAGATAAGAAAATGGTTTCAGAAAGTCAAACGAATTACATAGTAATCATGATGGATGACATTTCAATATATTATCAAGAAGAAAATGTAACAAAACATCGATTTACATACCTCCAAAAATCACCCATACGATAATATTTAGATGGGACACTCATTGTGGTCAAATCACCAGGATTACGAACAGATTGAAAATCACCACAGCACAAAACTAGATCGGTTTTAAACTGACCGTGTCGTTCAGCTTCTGCAATGTTAGCATACACACAGTCTAATTCCCCGTGCAAACAGCCTACTACACATACTTTCACCATGATTTTACTTAATATGATCAGTTAATATTGGATCCTACAGAAAAATTTGAAAGATTAGAAAACAAAGGCTTTCATGCAATTCAATAGTTTATTTCATATTGTGAAAGTAAATATGTAACCAATTTTAGCATTCAGAAATGACGAACTTTCCATTAGGGAAGGAAATGAATTTGAAGCGACTGAGCGTGACCATTCTACATGACTGTTGAACAAATGTAGAATGTTCAAGCATGCATGAACTCAGAGGAAAACCAATGTAGGAAATCGCACAGCAGTGCATCAATATACAAAGCAAAAATAAATCCGATAAACACAACATTTAAGTAGAGAAGTAGGAAGAGAATACGGCAAATGAAGAGGTCACAGAGTAAAATGTCGACAGCCTTTAAACAAGCACTACTAAAATTCACTGATGTTTCCCTAAGTGAGAACATCTAAATTAATGTAAGGACTGATGAAAGGCTCTATTCCTGAGCGACAATTCAAATTAGAGAATATTAAGACGAAATATTGTAATGATTAATCCAATTTTTAAAAAAAGAGAAAGAAGGTGTCAGAGAAAATTCAGGTGAATAAGATCAAAAGAAAAAGGTTTCCAATATCTAGAATAATATGAGAAATGAATACGGCCAGGAAAACAAGATTAATTAAGAGGACATTCATTGAGTTTTTACCGGCTCTCCTAATCAAGACACCGATTTCAAGCTATATTTTCTACAGAAAGCCTACCTCAGCTACTATCATGCCTATGCTGGTAAGGAAAAACGAAGTTAGTGTTGCAGCGTAGATTACTACACTATGATGGGGGGTCCGACGGAAAAGTGGTGCCGTCAGCTGGGTGCGGTATGGCAGCAGTAGGATGTTTCCCTTAGATGACCAGTAGTGTCACTCTGATGTCGCCTCCCCAACGGGAAGGGGGATTATAAAATGTCGGCCCCCAAAATAACACACTCCACCATACGCCACAGTCTGACGGTGCTGGATTCTAACTATCCAGCGTTAAAATAGCCACGCTCCAAAACATCCCACAAAAGACCACGTGTAGCAGGCCTTAAGATGTCCCTTCGGCTGTGGTCAAACATTATCCCTTCCTTTTCAAGTGCCTTGAGAATGAATAACCTTCCATGGTGTGAGCAGCCGGAAAATGTCAACCGCCCACACATTTCCAGGAGTACACAAGTCACAGTCAAAAACATAACCTATCCTCGTCAACTCTGTCTCTTCCTTCGCTTTCACCTCCTGATACTAATATCAGGCCTTTTACGTCTTACTCAACCATTGTTAATGATCAAAGACATCGAAACATCATTCCAATTTTCCTAAGACAATGTCAGTGACCTCATGTGGGAACTTTCAGAGTTCGAACTCGGATGCCAAGCACCGCTCATCATTACTGTCGTACCTCAACCCATAACTACATACACTGTCTCTCAGAAGATGCATACACAATACGAGTGTGGTTATTCAATTGACATCAAATGGCAACAGTGGTAAATCTTCAAAATTCACCTTAAGAGAATCGAGAATCGTGGACTCGTTTGTGTTGGTATAGCACTTAGTAGTAGAGCAGAAAGTGCGCTTCTACCTGGATACCAGTCAACAATCATCTACGTGGTGTTTGACTTAATGGATCTGTAAGAACTAAGAAGGATTATGAGACCAACCGATGCCTATTCGCAATCTCCGCATAAGCATCAACCGACTGTAGGTCACATGATACAAAGGATGAATTCCATGAAAAGCTGTCAATTTTGCTACAGAAACCAAAACGTTCAGATGTAATAATAATGGCAGGTGACTTTACAGTACAAGTAGGAAAGCTGAGTCAAACAGAGAGGCATCTTATGGGTATTTACGGAATCCCTTGCCAACGAACCGAGAAGGATGGTCGTCTCTTACAATTATATTCCCACAAATCACTTGTTTCTGTCCAGCACTAACTTTGACAACAAAGAAAGACAGTCTCACATGCTGTCCACCGACTTCAAACAAACGATAGACACACATACATCATATTGATATAAACCATCGTTAGACGATTGCCTCTCTCTATGGAGCTCCTGTTTGGACATCGGTCACGCGTTAGTACCGGCTCATGGATGTCTGCAGCTTACTGTTCGCACAACACAAACGACAGTAAAGCTTGTTCATGCTCGATTGGAAGATGAGGACGTCAAGTGCGTATTTAGGACGGAGTTAGCTTAGCACCTATCTGAACATAACAGCAATGCTCATTCTGAGAAGACCTGACGTGAGACTTATTGAGTCTGCTGAGGAAACAGAGGTAAACACAGATGATAACATACACCCAAATGTTAGCAAACGTCAGTGGATTTCTGCAGAGTCATCCGAAATGATTACTGCGAAAAGACTAATTACAGATGGATGGTTCTGGTTCTGACCATCATGAGGAGCGAAAGTAATTCAAAAGTAAGTTGACAAAGTGTATTCAAGCCGACCACGAGTTGTGGTGGGTAGTGAGAGAAATGGAGAAGGTATCACGGTTTGATAACACTCGCTTACTACTTAGGCTTATTAGAATACCGACCATAAGAACACGATGGTGAGAGAAACTAACCCCGAAAAGAATGGGGTGCTAATAACCCCTCTGGACAGGCGGCCAGAATAGTGAGTACAACACCTTGAAGCACAGTTCAACTGAACCTCACAATGCTTCAGTTACCCAACATCTAGTCTGAACCTGAATGCGACGTAGATGTCTGTCCTCCAACTCTCTTTCAAGCTGAGAAGGCTGTATCGAACCTGAAACGATGCAAAGTATCACGACCTGACAGTTTACCACTCGACGTTTTCAAGGATGGAGGTGGGAAATCTCTGCTAAAGTCACGGACGTACTAAGTAGTGTATAGGAACCAGAGATAGCCCTACCAGACTGGTGTACTCTACTGATCATACCAGTTTATAAGAAGGGAGATAAATCTTGTGACAACCATAGGTGAATTAGTTTCACCAATATTGCGTTCGAAATCCTAGAATCCCCATAGTTATCCAACGTCTAACTGCAGTTCGAGAACAGCGAACTCATGAAAACCAGGCAGGTTTTAGACCTGGATGAGGGTGCATCGATCATAGTTTCACCCTCCGACATGTTCTGCAATATAGGCATACCTACCGGCGACGCCTGGCATATTTCTTCACCTGAATGCGGTATTTCACTAAGTTGATTGTGAGGTGTTACGGTAGTGTTACTGTGAAAGGCGTAGCAAGCAAGTATATAACGCTAATCACAGCTGTCTACTCGAACTCACCCACCCGTGTACGGGTTTATGATGTTAAAGGAAAACTGCTATTCATCAGATGTTGTTTCACTGATTGCTAAATCCCAATTTAAAAGTCGGATAGAAAAAAGTTACTATGACCTAAAATAACTATCAGATTCTAGTATAACAGAAGTACGCGGTCTGGAAACTGGTAAGAAATCAACAAGATATGATCTTAAATATTCAAAAAGATATCTAAGATCCTAACAGCGCTGGTCAGTAGAGAAAAAGGAAATTCACAGTAAGACACACTAGAAATAAAAAAATATATAAACATCAGTGGTTAAAGGGAAACTATAGAAATGGAGGAAAAAGAAATACAGATGGGTGGTAACAAAATTTCAAGAATTACGTGCAGATAACATTCAGATGCAACCGATGGTTGTACTAAAATCCTAGATAAAACTCACAGACAAAACAATCAATACTAAAGCATGGAGCTTTTTTCTGAATTCACTTTCTTTGACCGAATAACACAGCAAAAAAAACTGACAATCAACAGTGAATCATTTTATTTGAAGTGCTGAAATTTACAGTTACACTAGTGATAACCATTAATAGAAACAATAAAGAAGTTATTAGGTATGGTAATTATTCAAAAGTATTTCATGAACTGACAGCACATTTCTTATCGACGTTGATGATCACGTGGAGGCGGATAGAAGCGATCATCTGATCCATGGTATCTCATACCACCACCACCACCACCACCTCGTACTGGCATACTACCAGAATTAAAACCACCACGTGAACCGCCTCCACTACCACGATTTGGTTGTCCTTGATTCTACAACGAAAAACATCGACGGGAAAAAGATAAGTACAAATGAACAATTCTATACTAAAAGTAGAAATACACAGCCTAAGTATGATTTTGTTTGGACTTTTATCTACAATATGTCTTTCGACAGGCTGGATCACAGCTTTACTAGTTCAGAATAACCAGGCATGAAATTCTATGCAAAAACACTCATATAAAATAACATAATTATTCCAAACCCAGAAAATTTATAAAACCATGTTGACCGAAAAACTGATGTACATCACTAAAGAAATGATAAACATACTGATTGATATCCACCACCGTAGTAAGTGATTCTGTTAGAATCTGCATATGGACCTCCGGGTAAAAGAGCGGGTCCACCGAAACCTTGATTATTAAATGCATTATTAACCACGTTATTATTATGGTTACTGTTGTTGTGGTTGTTAGGCCATCCGGACTGCGCATTGATTGAGTTGGCTATAGAAACAGCGGCTGCCATCGCAGCAGCCCGAGCAGCATTCATATTACCACCACCACCACTACTACTACCTCCACTGCCACCTGACCCAATACCACCAGGTCCAGGAGCCGAAGTAAATCGTGCAAACGGTGAACCTGAACTACGCGAGCGTGATCTGAAAATGAACGACAACAACATACAATCATTATTAAAATGCAAATACATTGTAACGTTAGGCTGTAAACTTGTTCTCTTTGATCTCACAAGTAACAGAAGGAAACGATGGTTCTCTTCCGAAGTAGATTCGCAACAATTTAACACAGAATACACAAACAACTCAGTCTCCAGATTCCTCTCTTGAAGTAGAAGGAAACACCTTTTTTCCTTCATCAATTTGTCAAATATATATGGATAACAATTTGAGTCGGAAGTTTATGGCTTCAAGAAGAAAAATATTAACTGTAAATGGTTATCTATCTCATTATAAGAATATATTTTGATATAATCCCAGAGTGTTTAGAAAACCTAAACAAGATATTATTGTTCGAAATAATCCAGCCATGCAGAATAAACACCTATGAATTTGATGTTTAAGGGTAGTACAGTACATGACATCTAAAAGGCGTTCATTAGCAAGAATTGAGATGACGACGGTCACTATATTTACTCTTATATTCAATTCAGAATAAAAAGTTCAATTACTAGCAACATAAATTTGCACAAATATGTGGAACTAAGAATATACGTCATAAAATGAATGAAGTACGTTCATAAACACTTATTATTACGGTCGTGCAGGAGAAACTATTATTTAGTTATTGCGTTTATTATCCAGCATTTCATATGCTCACAAAATATTCTCAATCCCCTTTATTATCACGATATCAACTCTCATTTATGCAAACAATTTGTAAGATTCGTTTTTTTAATTATTGTATCAATTTACTTACTAGCTGAAATATACATTTCTATTTAAATTATTCTTCCTTATATGCCTACATTGTGTAAAAAATCTATCTTATTCATAGATATACTGCCCATACCATTTTTATACTAAAATGATAGATAATTTTCTACTGACGAAGTTTTGTTACTTTCCCCTTGACTTTCATTATAAAAATGTACTTTGTTAGCACAAATAATTCATCCCCGGCCTACGAAACTGCTTTCCATGCGATTTCAAACTATTAACTTATTGCCTATTAGACACCACGATAATTGCGACCGTAGGTGATGAATGAATAAATAATCCATGAGTTGTTAAGTTGACAGTTTCATGTCAGCCATCAAGTTGAAACCCACTGGTCAGCTGTTTTAACTTCAATCGAATAGTTGAACACAGATCAGTATGTCAATGAATATTTATTCCCTTTCTCAACTTGATTGTTCGCATACATCAAAGTATACCAAAAGAATATCTGCCGGATATTGGATAACCTACTGGATAATTACGTTTCGTATAATGAATACGAACTTGGAAATTCAGTAAAATAAGCACGTTAACACAAATATGTTCAAATACATTCAGAGTTGTCGTAAGCTGAACAAAACGAAAAGTGTATCCCAGTTTTTGTTGGTATCAAGTTATCAAAAGTTTGCGTCACTAACCAAGACTAAATATCCACATACGACAGATGAACATACAAAAGAGATTTATTGTGTATCACTGATGATCATGATGATAGTTTGATGAATGTGGGAAAAAAATAAAGCCAAATGGAACAAACAACTTCCTTTTCACCATAGATGGAAGAACAATGTGCTTAAATAGATAAATCACTAAATACTAACAGTCCTATATTCATATACACCAATCAATAAAAATTCAGCGGAAATAGAACAGCTGGTGTTAAATGCTTCGACAAGAAGCAGCGAAGCAGAAGTAGAGATGGGATACAAATAAAAACTAACCTGTTGCGTCTTCGACTCCTGGAAAACCCATGGGACTGGCTACTACTAGTTTCATCGTCATGCCGAGGTGACGGAGACTTAGAACGAGAATCACGAGAATCAGAACGTGATCGCGATCTACTTTGAGAACTACGAGACTCAGATCGTGATCTTGAACGAGAACGAAACTCCCGAGAACGTGAACCACCAGAACGTGAGTGAGACTTTGAACGTGAATCAGATCTGTCAAAGAAAAATCCAGAGGTAAAATTAAGATAAGAATATAAATTATGACTTTAAGATTTCTATCGCATGCATTAAAAGTCAAATATGAATACAGAATATTCTTTTTGAATAATTCTCATAGAGTTCTACAGTTATAAAGCAAATACATCAATACAGCAACAGCCAAATTTACGGTAAATACATTTTAATGTCGATGTGAAATTAAAATTAGATAGATCTAAGTTTGTAGATGATAAAGTGACTTATGCACGTACTGATACCGTATGATGATAAATAGCGGCCTCCAGGTTACTGGCCGGGCTATCTAACGACTCAGCTACGGGACCCAACTGCTGAGTAGGTTTGAACTTGGACCATGAAATTGTTTCATCCAGTTACTTTGTGGACCCATGGTAGGCTACTGTCCGTTTATTGTAATCATAGTTGTTCAACCAGGTCTTCTTGTGTCGATCCAAGTGGAGCTGAATCAAGAAATAGCTCGTTCGAATCCCGCAACGACCCAGGGTTTCATTTTACCTTCAATCATTTCTGAGAATCAGTAACTTCGATCTGCTAAACTATGACCATCTCAGAAAGCTTCATTAACCATATATGTATACCAACTGAGGTGATAAGTTGCATTCAAATTGTAAGTTTTAAATGACTGATGACTAATTATACTCAATGAATAGAGCATGGAGAAGGAAACTTAATAATCATTTTCAAGGTTGCGATATGTTTGGTATCTGATTAGAACAGAAAATGACATGAATAGACCGGAAGGCTTGAAATGGAATGGATATTTCAGCATAAAATAGTCATCGTGTGAAATGGTTGAGATAGGGTAGTACTGCAAGTAATAATAATACGAATCATAAACGAGTGCTAAAATTTAGTAGGATTTTAAAGGTAAGAGGGGAAAACGGAGGACAATGCGACTAAAACTGTTGAAAATAAGGAAAGAAAAAGTAGAAGAAGAATGTAAAGATGAAGGAATGGTGTCAAGTTAATGGAAGGTCAGAGAAAGAGTAAGGTTGCTTGCTACTAGCTCTTTTTGAATACAAACCCCAAGCTTGCTTGACCATATAGCCATGGACATATTGTGCTGTTTTCGCTCTCATCCTAATACACCTTCAAAAGTCTGCTAAATCTCCGTACAGTACGTTTACCATTCACATTGACATTACTCTTATTATCAGCAGTTCCCATATTGAACCGTAGGGTAAGAATGTTCAAATGATCTACGTAAGACATTCTTTACTTCAATATTAGAAACAATATAATGAAAGGTACCTAGAACGGGATCGTGATCTACGAGATTCAAAACGATCAGCAGAAAATCCTGGAGGAGGCCTTTGGATTAGACCCTGAGGCAAAGGAAGTGCCGGAGGTGGTTGATTCACAGGAGGAGGAAACTGTAAGAAACTTGTATTAGGGAATCCACTTGGTCCAGGTGGTATCGCACCCAATAAACCTGGCAACGGAGGAACAGGGATAGGAATCCCAGGCTGAATCCCAGCTGTCTTGTAGGCGCTGTAATTGTGTGTCAGCTGCCCTTGCATACACTGCATAGGAGGAGGAGCCAATGTCAGTGCTTCAACACCAGTCCTGAGAGGTTGACCGACTGCAGCTTTGGGGTACGCTGTTATATGTGCTAGATGTGGCGGTCCCATGGGAACTTCAGTGTCCATGACATCCCGAGAAAACGGTCTATTGACATCAATGACACCATCATGCTGAATATCTGGAGCCAACTCGTTAGCGAAATCATATTCTGAATGGCTGCTTGCGTAACTACCCCACTATGTTGTCTACGTCGATTTGGTTTTCCTTTACCAGTAGTGTTGTCTTTCTAAAAAATAAATCGAGAGAAATAAGACAGTATTGTAAAGTAATATCACAACATCGATCTCAATATGATTAATGAAAGAAATTTTTTTCAACATTCAGTTTATTTATATGGAGCATCATATTGAAAACATTCGGTTTCAGCGTCGCTATTCATTATTAACCAGACAATAAAACATCGGAAACTAAAGGCATGTAGCATCACTTAGTGGTGTGTAGAAATGTGGCAAACTAGAAAAGTCTAAGATCATCTAAAATCAACAAAATTTGAACAAGATCGTTTTCTTTAAGTTAAATGAACAAACAGCTTTATTGTGGTTTTTCAATAGACTTGAAAACATATGTTGAAAACGCAAGTTTTTTAGGTGCAATATAGAGGCAGAATTTTAGAACGTTAAGCCTAAGCATTTGTATCAATAGGCTTTATAAAGAATTAGGATATTCGGATTTCGATAAGCAGGTATCACGATGAATTTAGGGTTTTCCTAAGAACTGTTTTCGGTGAAAAATAAAATCATCTCGAATGATTTCCAGTAATTAAGCGTATACAAATAAGTTAAACAGAGAAGCTCTTACAGAAAACTAAATATAGTCGATTTACTCACACTGTTGTTGCCTTTTAAGCAAACTAAACAAATTACAGAACTTTTGCTTTATTCTGAACGTTGAACGAAAACCATTTGCATATCACACCACCATTCCACTTAAATTATTCAAAAATCGAAAAATTAACTGAATTAAGAATGATTTTAGTCAAAGAATGATGGTGGCAAGCGTTCACTGCAAACTATTATTGCTAATCTTTTGATGCCGGCTACTATCTATCGTTGAAACCACACTAACCATGACGTTTTACAGAAGCAATATCGTAAACGGTAATCGTATGTGACCCGTACAATGGCAGTAATCCAGCTCGGCACCAGTGAATAAACAAGCATACCGAAATGTATCCAAAGCAGCAAAGAGAACAATCGACCTTATTGTGTTGAACTGTAGGCAAATGGAATTAATGCCATCCATTACAATGCTGAGAATTAACAGAAGAGAAAGAAAAACCAGGGTTGTACTAGGCTTCGAGCCACAGAGCTACGAGACTAGGCTTTAACTTCACTTCAAACACTTACAGTTCTTCCCAAGTGACACGGGTTACAGTGAAACCAAAATTCCCATTCATCGTAATCTAATCTACACATTTATACGATGCTGAAAACCTAGAAATTAAAGCCAAACTTCATATTTGAACAAAGTATGAAAAAAAGAAACGCGCCTTAAAAACCATGTGCACGATCGAGCATTAAATTAGCAGTCAAAAACCAGTCCTGAACTACCAACTTACAAATTATACGCCAAAGACACTCAAATGTTTGCTCGAAACCTTCGGAAAACTCTTCGTATAACATGACTACCATTTACGTACTCCAAGTCAATCAGGCGCCATCTAGGGAGTACATCATTCCCTATGAAGTTAGAGTTAAGTGGGGGATATAAAGCGGAGGTGATAGCGGGTATCTCCAATGAATACTACTTCAGAAGACAACTTCGTATCAGGCGTTACGTGACTACATAACTTACAGTGCAAAGCCTCGATAAGTACCAACTACTGCCTTAGTGTTCCCTTCACAATCATTCGCTACGACGATACCTCTCGGCCGACAAAGTCGAATGCCACCTTCACGTCAATAAGTATCGCATGCGTCGGTACCCGGTTACTATGCCTGTATTCCAAAACCTGTTGGCTAATAAAGATATGATCGATACACCATCGTTGACGACTGGAACCGGCCTGGTTTGCCCCAGTTTGCTTTCCTCGAGGTGCAGTTACACGTCGCATACTATCGACTCTAGCATCTTGAACACGATGCTCGTAAGACTAATCCTCCTATGGCTGTCACAAGGAAACTTCTTTCCTTTCTTATGGACTTCAGTTATTAGTGATGTAGACCAGTCTAATGAGACTGTGTTTGTCATGCACTGTCTAGTGACTCCTTCTAGAAGCTCTACTCAGTTATTTCCTATCTGCTTCCTTCAAGACTTTTGTTGGTATTCCATGAAGTCTTGCTACTTTACGCCGTTTCAGATTAGAAACAAGCTTCTCAACTTCGAGTAGAGTTGGAGAACTGACATCTACACCTCATTCAGGTTTCGACAGAATGCTGGGCAACTGAAGCGCTGTTATAGACCAAATTGTCTCACCCAACATTCTATCCGTTCATAGGAATGATGGATAGTGGTTAGTGATGGGAGCCAGAACGCACATTTCGTCCTGTTTGGGACTCGTCAGCCGGATGTACCTGCCTCCCATTGAGTGATGTTGTTCCCGCGGGGATTCGAACTCGGGACCAGGCAGGTGCATCCAGCTGACGAGTCCCAAGTAGGAGGAAATGAGCATACTAGATTCCACTGCTAGTCGCTATCCATCATTATCATAATTAGAACACAGGTAATATCGAGGCATTTGCACAGGAGCTCATATCCCAATAGAGACTGATCAATTCAGTCTAATCAACGACGGTATAATACAAGCAATAATATTAATTCTATCCGTTTGTTGTAAGAGATTATCAGGGTCCCATTCTTTTCGGTGGTGGTCTCACTGACCAATGTCTTTTTCGTGACAGTATCCTCAACAAGCCTACATAAATGCAAGTGTTACCTAATGCTGATGTTTTCTGCATCTGATCATAAAAGAAAGCGGAAATGCATACATCAACTGATGTAAATTTGGCAGGCTGTTGAGCTAAGCAAATACAAGCGGATTTATGCCGAAATTCAAACACATGTAACCTTTAGTATGTTTCGTAACTCAAAGATACAAACGTTTTGCACATACTTTTATTGACAAAATGCTTTAAACTGCGAAGTTTTAAATTAAAAATCAGTGCTAATATAAAATGTGTACCATACCTCTTCCTTTTCTTTCAGTTCCACAGGACGAGCTTTTTCTTTTTTCGCACAGAATTCACTAAGGCCTAAGTGTTCCCATCCTTCACCGTCACGCGGTCTATCAGGTGTGGGTGGCATGTAGAAATTTTCAAGTGCCATGAGTAACCGCTCAGATGGTGTACTAGGAGATAATAGTTGAAGACTGTTTTCATTGATAGGTGTAAAGTCAAAGTCTTTCAGCTTAATTAACGGATGCATCAATCCTGCAGGTAACTGCCATGCTGGAAACTTTTGGTTGATATCATAAGAGTCAGTGACTTGTGGAGTTGAATTTTCTAAATCTTTCAAAGCTTCCATTTCGGTTTTGAGTGTCAAATTCTCTTCAGTAGCAACAGCTTTTTTAGCATTATCGTTAGTATCAGCCTTCTTTTCATTACAGGTTTCAGAGTGTGATGGGGCTGAAGAAAATCTTGAAGGACGATTGCCACGAAATGCCCGAGGTTTCTCTTCTCGATTACTTTGGTTGTCTCTCCCATCTCTGCCACCACGGATAGGCTCTTCATATTGCCGATACTCATTCTTATTATAATAACCTCCATAGGAAGCTGAAAAAGGTTGAAAAGAGAAAGTACTTGAGTTATCCAGTTGTAGTTCAGAAACCAATGTAGTGATGTAAATAAAAGCGCAATTGAAATATATTTATTACACATAGATACTATTATTGACTTGAGATGAAGTAAAATATAAACAAAATGTCTTTGGTAACATTGTTAAGTGTCTAAGTTGTATAGTGACTTAAGTTACTAGTGAAAAATATCTCCAATACCTTTAGACTTTATTTACTTTGGATTATTTTAGTTGAATGCAGTCAGGCGTCACAAAATAAGCGAACATACATGTATTTGCTTTGAGAAATTATAGCAATGGCTTCAAACAGTGCAGTAGACATGACTTGTCTTAGTCATGTTTCATGAGATGTATATACAAATGAGATGAAGTTAGATACTCTGATGAGTGAAAACAACTCACAGCCAACTTTATCTACAGAAAAGTAAATGATGGGCGCAGGTAAGATGACGGACATGAAAAAAAATTCTCCTAAATGCACAAAAGTTTGTATTGAGGAACATATAAGTTCTTCTAGCAAAAACCATGGAAAAACGTATTCCCTTAATTAATTAAAGAACTTTTTCTTTCCATAGCATTAAATTAGAACTTTAAACAAGTGATTGTAAGCTTATTTATAAATATACATCTGATAAACTAAAACTTTCCATCCTGTTAAATCGACAACTGTGAATGTAAAGTGATGGTGATTGATTAGAACACGTGGTCCAAGCCTACTGGAAGTCAACTGCGACCCTAAATGCACACTAGTTAGCGTATTGGTTATGGTGATGTGACAGGTTGCACGAAAGCTAGGCTCAGGGCTTCCAAATCATAGCTTCAAACCACCTTATATAAAATACAGTGCACTACAATTTCGACCAAATCACATCCGAATCGCCTCACCTGATAGATTAAAGTCGATCAGTGTCGAGGAATAGACAGTAAAAGAAAAGGGTGCTATAAATGACTGACAGATCAGTGTATTTTGGAAATACAGGTGAAAACATAGCAAAGATCCGCACCATATACAGCAAAGACAGGAAAGTTTGTCAATCCCACTGAACAATTTGTCGTAAGGAACATAACTCCTTTATCATTCGACTCACTTGATTTTTCTTTAGATGCCTCAGCTCTACCTGCACTAGCTTTTAAATAAAACAAAGCAAGAATTTCTAAAATCTGTCGATACTAAGACGCTAAACAGATAAAAGACACGCACATACATTACATCCTAAGGTCAACAGTTGCTATAGGCACATACAATATTATACACAAGTGAATGTGATTACTTGTTTTGTGTACCGATAGGAGACACTGGTTGTGTCAGGTGAGTTATGTACATCGAGTGGTGTCCGTCAAGTATGTTCACTCCATCTATTCTTAACTTTATCACAGACGTCCTTGGGTACTTTCCTTTTGCTCTACTGACTTTACTGGGATCGATTTATACACAGGAAACTCGTTAGTAGACCTAGAGTACACAGGGGATTTAGTCCTGTTAGTTGAGCATGCTGACATTATACAGTTTTCTGAAAACCGTGATTGGCAATTTGAGGAAAGTAAGTACGCGCTTCTCCTTACCCAAAGGCATAGAGTTACTTATGGACCATTCTGCGTTGCCGTGGGCCACTGGTTTATGCGCTCGACTTCCAACAGGAAGGCAAAGGGTCCGAACCCCACCCGACCTGCCGAGGTTCAAGCAGCCAGGTAGTATCATTAGCCCATACACAATAGTGGCGACTGACTATCTACTCCAAAGAATTAGACGAGATTGCTGAGTGAATTTCAATTCTTTTTGGTGTATTGATGTCCAGTTTGAAAATAGTGTGAAGTGGTTGAGGACAATGATCATACCACCTACCCGAAAAGTTTGGTCGGCTTTGGTGAGTCAGTGGCCGACGACATCTCTGCACGGATAAAAAAAGCTCGCATGGCTTTTGCTTACATCATCTAGGAATTCAGCATGATATCTAATAGTGTATTAGGGTCGAGTGTACCACACAACAGTTCTTTCCGTTTTACCATATGGCCATGCAACAAGTCACTAAAGCTAAAAGCAGTGAGATGGCATCTAGTGTTCGACCACTGTTGCCTTCGTAGCACAGGTCATATGTTGTGAAACCATCATATCAGTAACGTAAAAGTTAGGCGTGGAGGTTTAGGCAGGTGAAGAAAGTCAGTTGATGAGATTTTGCAGCTTCTTCAACTTAGATGTTCGAGCCACGTGTTATGAATGTCTAGTCACCGTCACATAGTGTTATCTGAAATTGGTTTATGACAAAGAAAGGTTAGAGGCAGCCAGACTAACATATGGCATCAGTTCATGAAGTGTGTGACTGTTGGTATGAGCAGTATAGAGGAATGTACACTTCCCGGTTGGGGTTTGTATGACGGCGAAAATCTGTGGTTGAAGACCATGAGCGACATGGTTTAGAACCGATCTTATTGATGCAGATTCATTTACACATTATTGTTATCGTAATCGTCATGTTGAATTTCACTATCGTTTCATTTCTCCTTGCTATCTTCTGATGACTTTCTGACACTTTTGGCTGAATTCTTTATTTCTCTATTTCTTATCGATGTGCCCCCTATCTTGATTTGCTGATATATGATGTGCCAACGCAGTAATACCACGCACCATGTTTCTTCTAGCCGACCGAATTCGAAACATTGCAAACATCACATTCAATCACAGTACACTGCATTTTTGTTTCTTTACTGTTGTTACTTGTCATGCTGGAACTCGCTAGTAACACTATATTGCTCTCGTTAGCCAAAAGAGGAGATACGTCTGTATAGGTCTAAAGCCAAGTATAAGTAATTCATATATTTAGAAGTTGTGGCGAATATTTTTAGCCCAGTGTATGGATGTTCAGAGTGAGTCATTTTTCGAGCCAGAGTTTCAGTTGGCAAACGTTCCAGTGGCATGCTAGACATTGAAACGCTTACCAAGCGGAAACTTAAATCAGAAAACAACTTTGAAACATGGCTTATACATTTATAATTCTCTCTCCTCCTTTGTAATACAGATGGTAGAATTTTCCACACATCTGGAACAGATGCTGATTCATTCCGCTCTGATTCAATAAACAAAGATTCGGTTATCAATCTCTCACTCTACTCAGTTAAGTTACCTTTGAATACGGTCATTACATCCCAACCTATTCTGTGATTAAGTGTAATAGCATGCATAGCTATAGCTGAGATTTTCTCTAGCTTCCTTATCTTATTAGGATTTACCAATATTCATTTAACTACACCTTTTTGCGAACAGATCTAATATTCCTTAAAATGACATCATCTACCAATGAAAATTTTCTTAAGATTATTCAAACAATAACTTAAGTTCGAATAAAAAAGAACGTAATGATGCAGTTTACACATTCTATGAAAAAAACTGCAGGAAGTGATTCTCAGCGTCTAATTACTTAAAAAATTTTGGCGAGGGTAATGGACAATTATTGTAACGTGACAAGAATCTTTGGACTTATTAAGACACTACTACAAGCAATTTTTACATAAACTAATGTAACATTTCAACTTGGGAAATACAGTTCAAATTTCATGTATTGAATGCAAGATGGTATCGAACTAAACGTTAATATTAGATAAATAACACTTAAATCAGACAGTGCTGGATTTTTTTTTCTCTTCAATTCGGTACCAGAATGAATGAAGTCTTTAATCAATGCTAAGTAACCGAAGACACTATTATCTAAAATAATCTCTAGTATCACAATGACTCAAAAAAAATTCAGGATTATAAGAAAATATAGGTCATAATTCCACTCAGCTTACACTAAAATGATTAATCTGTAATAAGGATTATCTTAAGCAGAGTGAAATTAAACTTACAAGAATTACTTGATGCACCTGAAGTAAAAAACCTAATCTTACTGTTAGGAATGTATGCAATGTTTATATAAGAAACAGATTATACGCGCTCTCTTACTTCACTAATATGAATACACTACTTCAATAACTAAGATGCAATGGAAATTGTGATGAACATTGGTGATTGAAGTAGCAAAGGGAGCGATGAAATGATTAAGTCAAAATCTTGCATCAAATTGGTGACCTACAAATGTGTGGCCTGATATGTTTGGTATTTTATACCTAATATCTAGGATTATCTGGATCACACAATTCTTTTAATTAAACTATTGAGTGAAATCGATCATGGATACTACCTGTGATAAATATTTTATCTTGCTCAAAATATTGACTACATATTTTTGTGTCTAATGTATCCTTATATTTTAGTCGAGGGCTTATTTTAGTTAATTTAGTAGTTTCTTTGCACTTATGATGCTCAAACGCTACATTATTTCCAGACTTTATATGGATATGGTGAATCAGAATGAGAAGGTTAAAATGGGTTCATTTTACAGATGAGTAAGGTAAAAAATATGTAACTCCAATCGTTCACATCAGTTTTCATTGTGAGTACAGGTACTTTAGAGTTTTTGGGAAATTCTGACTACCTACAAGCAGTCTCTTAAGTCTGTTGTAAATGAAAATATAAAAAATACTCTGAATGATTCCATAAACGTAAATAAAAGTATATTTTAATAACCCTGTAATATATTTTGAAAATATATGGAAACAAAACGACCCCCCCTGCAAACATCTATTCTGAATGGGAAATACAATAAAGATAAGAGAAACTAGATAACATGATAAAACGCTTTGGAATGAAACGCAATTTACGCTTCAATAGATATACTGCAACATCAACAAAAACTTACGTGTTTCTGAAGAGGAAAAGATACAATTTGTATCGATAAAAGCAGATAGTTTTTTGATATAAGATAAATTATAAAGGAAAGACGATTGGATAGCGAACCATAAATTGGTTTCCTGATGCTAAAAAACCATCCATCAGTAAGTTTAAAACCAAGAACGAATGAATAAACAGGAGAAAACCTTCCAAAATGTGTGCAAACTGGTTAAAATGCAAGTAAGTTCACAAAACTGAGTGAAACTTGACATTCGTACATAAGTTCATAAGCTATCTAACTACCTAGATGAAACTAAAAGTGTCAATAAATACCTCAAATACTATTGATTGAGTAAAATTACTCCAAAAAGAGAATTATAAATTATAAATTACACCATATGATAATTCAGCGTTAGTTACATGAAAATATTGTGGTGATACTACCAATTGGCTTAAAAGTTTCACGTTCAATGAATGAGTCCACGGCTCAAATCTCATACCGACTAATTTGGCCTGGTTAATTAGGAAGTATCATAAGTCTTCACATATAAAATGTGGTTCACAGCCCAATACATTACCTTGTACCATGTTAAGATAATTTAGCACTAAAATATAGCGAGAACTATAGCACAATGATTAGCTTGAATTTTCTTCATGGCCAATAGCTTTACAAGAGAACGGAATGCGTTTGATATGGGAATTCCCACTGTAACTTGAATTTATGTACAGTGAACAAGTGAGAGCTAAAAATGAAGTATCTACGAAGCTACATGAAACGTAGACTAAAATAAAGATAATACTCTTCAAACAGATGAGCACTGTATAGATAGTGTGCATGAAAACAAAAAAAAATAACAGCATAATAGTTGAATAACATTCTTCAAAAAAGATATCGTTGAGTTAAAAATGAGGCGATAGTAGGTTTTTTCCTCTGTAGTCAGGCATGATTTAATAATGATTTACTTACCACAATCATACGATGAAGCAGGATAGTGCGATTGTTCGTCCTCCGGTTCATCGCCTTCGATATATACATTGCTGCTTAATTCATGACCACCAAGGTTTCTGTGTGCAGACTGAGAGTTATAACTTGACATAGACTGATTCCATTTAGAGGAATCAGGTTGACCTGGTGACCATCCCATTTGAGGGGGATAACCTGGTCCACCAACGCCACCAGAAGGGCATGTATAACCTGGTATGTGGGAAGATGGATAACTAGGTAATCGATGTTGCATATCCCGCATATCTGAACCAGCCATCATGTCTTGTGAACCGATATCATATGCACCAGAAGCCCGAGGCGGTGGACCCCAATAAGTGAAGTTTGGATCCATGTTCTGGAGAACCGAAAAAATACACACTAGTAAGAAAATCATAATTTAACTAGACAAAACATTAAAACCTCAAAATAGCCAATGGCATACACAGTAATAAATCATGAATACCTTAAATAAATGCAGTGTCATACTTGTACAACATTTATGTCATAGGATGCATATTTGCGTCAAATAAAAACCTGAAAACTATTCCCCATTGGAAATCCAAGAGAAAATATACGACAAAATTAAATGCAAATACATTTTAAAAGTAACAGATGTTATGCTAATGATACTTAGGATACCTTTTCTCATTTCAGGTTGACATTTGTCGATCGGGCAGATTTAGGTAAAAGTATTCGATGTTCAATACATAACCCACTGGCCGAAGATTAGGTCAAATACTACAGAGCGAAAATCCCAAGATTTCTAAATGCTTAGACTATCATTTAAATGGCTGTGGCTAACAGAGGAATCCAGGATGCAGGTTTCGTCTTATTTGGGACTCGTCAGCTGAATGTATCCGCACTCCAGTGAGCGTTTTTCTTCCTACTGAGACTCGAACATCGTACCCATCGCTTCAAATGCCAAAGCGTCGTCCACTAGGCCACTAAGGCACCATAGCCACCACTTGTACAACATGTGCTAGTTATTACTACTTTTTGATATACTTGTAATTCTCTTTTGTTATACTGGATCGAATTGGTTGACCTCTGTTAGCATATGGGCTGGTGTGCGGATGCCTCCATATTGCCTGAATATTTATTATAATTTAATTGGTTGGAATTAGTGACTTGATTTTAAAAAAAACTCTAATAACTCAAAAATATAAGTTTAGTCAGAGAAACAAACAATTTCGTTTTTCTGTTTCAACCGCTCTCACAGGTGTAACAAAAACCAAACTAAGAATATTTCGATGGTTTAGTGAAAGAGACGGATTAGTGCGATTGAATGCATCAGCATGTTCCTCCCACAAATTTATAACTTGTACTAAAGTGGAAAACGAACTCATTATATTCAAGTGAATAGAATTCTGGAGGCATTTTCTATCTGGACAATGTCGAGAACCTTCAACGCAGTCGCTTAATAAACCAGCAATTTATTTTACCTATTCGAAAAATAATAATTCAGGGTAGTATGATACTTACACTGTTATCACCTATTTTCAATGAAAGCATTTTATTTCCAAATAGAAATGCCCAACATCCTAAGAGTGGTCACTAAAAGTGATTTTACTACTACTAAAATAAGGATGTTACCTCAAATTATGTATTCCTCTATGAAATAACTACGTATTAACGAAAAATGGAAAGCTCAGTGAAGACAGGGGTAAGACAAGGTTGCCGCCTACTATCATCGATGATCTTTCTCATTATGGTCGACTGGGTCATGCAGAAAACCGTGAGGAGTGAGAAGATGGGCATACGCTGGATCTATGAAAAGACCCCAGAAGAAGACTTGGATTTCGCCGATGATTTATGTCTAATGTCTTGTCGCACAAGCTCGAAGATCTACAGGCAAAAGCCAACAAGTTGACAGAAGAGGCAAGGCAGTGAAGACAGGACTTCAAGTGAACGTAGAGAAGACAGAGGTGATGAGGATACCCAACCAGCAACAAAAACAACAACAAGCACCAATCACCTTGGACCGGAGAAACCTAAAGGAAGTAGTGTTTCATCTACCTAGGCAGCATCGTTTCAACTACAGGTGGCACAGATGAGGACATAAAAACAGTCAGGATCGAAAAAGCGAGACAGGGTTTCATTAACATAAAACACTCAGTGTGGAAATCTACTGCACTCAGCATAAAGCGTGAACAACATCCGGATTTTCAACACAAATGTCAGTCAGGTCAGTGCTTCTATATGGTTCAAAAACTTGAAGCGTCAAGAAAAGCATTTCCAACAAACTACAGACATTGATCAACAACTGCCTACGCTGGCTCAATACTGAAGATCAGATGGATGGCCAGAAAGAATAAGCAACAAAGAAACTCTGACCTGGCAACGGACCAACTAGGAACCCACCGCCCAACAAATATGCAGAAGAAAGTGGAGATGGATTGAGCATATACTGAGAAAACCATTCGGAGACACCATGCGCCAGGCCCTCGAGTGGAATCCAAAGAGGAAACGATGAGTTGGGCGTCCGATGGTGATATGGAGGAGATCATGTGAGAAATGAAAGCGTGTAGGCAGTCGTGGTGCCAGGTTGAAAAGACTACAGAAAACAGAGTGCATTGGAGATGTACTACTGAAGCCCTATGTTCCACTAGGAACTTAAAGGACAAACAATAACATAATAATTAACGAAAGATATAAGAAATATTGCTTCATATAACATAAACACATTTTTACTTGAGAAATAGAGTTTGTTTGTATAATATAATTACTTGAAGCGAAATCTGTTTTATAGTATCATAGGAAAGAAAAACTAAATCCTCCAAATAATTCAAACACACTGGGAGAAAAAACACCTATAGGCTTATTCTCTTTTCAGTTACTAACGTGTCAGCTGATGCATTTTGGAGAGGTAAATTAGTTACATTAACATATCTACCATACTATGTCTTTTCCTGAAAATTATTCAACATTGAACGTTGTGCTACAGTATTGGTATGTATACAAAGAGAAAAAAGTTCACTTCTTACTAAGAAAACTATACTTTTAATAATGGGAAATAATAATTGAAAGAGCAACTGTGATTAACAATAAGTGTTACACAAGACACTTAACTATACAGATACAAATAATATGGCCAATATACCAAGAAGATAAAACCAATCACGCCACATAAATCACCTCATCTAAGTGTACACAAATATTTGTGGATGCAAAAACATTTTTAACCAGTTTAATTTTCGTGACATTTTACAACATAAACCATTTCAAAAAATCTACCCCCTTCCCTCCCCTCTTATACCAAGTATACAAACTTGGTACTGTCAAATAATAAGATTTAAGTCCATGCTGTTCAACAGTCAATGGATATGGCAGATTGACTTTGAGTTAACAACAGTAATCACCAACCCAACATGAAAACCATATCAGGACAAATACATTAGGTCACGAATTAGATCCGCTGTGCAAGAGTTGATGATTTTAGTTAGATACAAGAACCTCAGAAGTAGGAGTGAAATTCAAACGTATGATGCAATAGTCAGAAAACGAGTGTTCTAACCACCGAACTGCAGATCTACTTCAAGTTATGCAAAATTGAGCATTGACTATAAACTACTTTTAAAAGTGTTGGTTTTGCTTATGATATAGGACCAAGGTAGCATATATGACTGGTCAATTACAGTATGGTATTTCTCTAAATCTAAGTAGATTTCATTCTAACAAATATTTTCAATTAGATGCTGCAATTCAGTAATTAAATGCATACCCGTGTATTAAAACTCTAGAACATACATATTTGTGAGGAATAACGACACTATTCAGCTTATCGAACCGATGACAAATGCACTGAGTCAATCAAAAAAGCGATCGATAGATGTCTACATCCAATGACTTCCATCTTTAAGTTTCAATAACATACCGGTAACTCAAACATAAGATACTTCTGTATTATTACTAAGCGAGAAGACACTCTCAGTGATGTTTGAAAGCAAATTAATAACAATTAGTAAAATATTAAACATTTGTGAACAACAGATTCACTACACAGCAATGATACACACACACACACACACATACAACTGAATGTATAAACAATTGTAAATGCAATACAGCATGTACAATTGGTTAATTTTCCCAAATAAGGAAACAAATAAAAATGTTGTTATAAAACTTATAAAACAGGGATGATCGGTGGAATAAATTTCAAAGCTATTAAGAGATTCGAATGTGTGCGACAGTGAAAAAGTTCAATTAAAACACTTTGTGCATAAAGGTGTACAAAAAGTTATGAATTGGCTACAATGCACTGTAGTATAGAGGCAAACAATCAACAGAATAGACGATAGCAATGTTGAAGAAGTCATCAGAGTTTATAACAATACTTTCTCCATGTTAAACAGATAAACAATAAGATTTAAAACGAACTTCACTCAGCTTTCAGTACATGTTACCCTTAAGTATTGTCAAAAGTTGAATTTTTCAGTTAAAACCTCTAAGAAAGAATAGATGCAAACATCCTTATACTAGAAGCATTCGTGTAAAAATACACTTAACCATGAACACATTGGGCTATGATTATGTCAGTGTTACACAGGTACATAGTGTAAGCAGAAATTCTTCGTAATTACTGTAATTGAATGTTTTGAAACTACTTTTAATCCTCGTCTAAAAATATGTGTCAATCGTTTTACGAATGTTCAACGTTGATAATTTTTAATGAAATAATGATATCTCCACAATTGAATGCAATTACCACATTGATAACTTGCCTTGCAAGTTATATGCATAGCAGGCAAACTGGATGTTGAATCACTGATTCCTAGATTATTCTGAAAATCTCAACTCATTCTCAAACACTACTCAAACCGCTTATACAAAAGGATCTGTAAACGTCCATGCAGCAGTAAAGATACATGATCAACGAATACTTTGTCTAGGCCCTAATCTTATGAATTATATTTATGGTATACACAGTTGTTCTTTAGAGCTCAAATATATCTTCAAGCATCAACCCTAATTTTTGTACACATACACATATATCAGATAAAGTACAAGAGAGTACCAATGTCAACAAACCTGTATAGGATGATGAGATGATCCATACTGTGAATGATGATTATCAGATCTAGGTTCATCAGACTTATCAGAAAGTGATGACGCTAACTGACGACGAACATGATCTGCAAACTCTTGATGTTGTCGTTCAAGACTAGTGTATTGATTATTAATATCTGCTTTTATTTTGTCTATTTCAATTTCATACGGCTAAAGAAAAAACAAACAAACAGACAAATGTATGAAAAGTGTGAAAGTGTAAACCACATAATAAAGTCTGCAATTCAGTTCGGTATCAGCTGCTTCACTAGATAACGGCACATAGTGTTATTTATTAGAGGAGATTTTAGACAGAATTTTCCATTGTTCGTGATTAAATCACGTTTTAGGCATGGCTTTTAAACTAGATTTATTCCCACAATGCTTTCTCATCCTTGATTGAAAATATAACATTCTGCACATTCTTAGAGTAAATTTTGTGTCACTTCTGCAATAATTTCTCTATGTCAACTTTTACTTATAACTAAAATCGGGTTTAAGGACTGTCATACTGTGTGTAGTTGTATACAGAATAAATAACTAAGCTTTATCCTTAATATTGGTATTTTTCTAATTAGTTACTGAGAATTGGCCGAATTCTCATCCTCTTGATTAACCTGATCAAGATTCCCCTTCATGCTAGTTTTTTCGGCATAAGCTTTTAATCTGATACTCATTCCTCAAATAATACTCAATAAAAGTGTTTCCCTGTGATCTTTCTTTATCTAGTGAAAAAATTTAAGCACAAAACTGTATACCTCACAAGACCGTCTGCATTTAGTTTTTCAACTTCATCCTTCGTAACAAATCAGATACTTTATCAAGGTACGTTCACACAAAAATGTTTTGGTTAAGTATTGTGAAGGTTAACTACATGTTAGCAGTTAGTATTAATTACACACACTACATTTGTAAACCATAAGCAACAGCGGTGAAAAGAAAGATTATACACAACGAGAAACGGTTAACTAGGACTATTTAGCGTGCACATCGTGAGACGATAGATTTAGAGTATTTATAAAAAGCATTGTTTCCATAAATATTTCTGACATAATTAAGGTGAAGTTTAGCAAGAAAATTTTAAACTCTTCTGTTACATGACTTTATTTATCTTTAAATGGTATTTTATATCTTGTTCAATTTTAGGTTGTAACACAATATAGTAGATAAGTACTAAATTCACTGGTAAAGTGGTTGTCATCGCAAACATGAAAATTACCCCCTACTCCCTCCGTCAATGATTGCACAGAAATAAATTCTACATTCACTTTTCTTTTACACAACGTGTAATACACCTTCTATACTCGGTTCAAACGGAACACGTAAGAATTAACATGATGTCGACAGTTAATAGTATCATAATAAACAAATTTTACATTTGATTTGTAAGTGCATGGACTATATGATTTACAATTTCAGAGTATAACACAAAAAAAAACAACTTTTTCAATCAAATCTTTATGATTTCGTACAGAGAACAACAATAAACACTTCACGCTGAAAACTTCAACAATAAGGAAAAACTTTTCATCTAAATATCGATACTAATTTCACTTTAAAACAAACGGTCTTGGTTACAAAGTTCTTAATATAACTGATCTTATTAACTCATTTTTTTACTGGATAATGAAGTTGAATGATTGTGTAAACGGCTAGATCACTGCAATAAACAGCAACCCAAAACAAAAAATCAAACTTTTCTGTTGAGTATTGAAATTCTCTTCAAATTTAGTTCTCAGTATTTCACCAATGACTGAAATTTTCGAGAGAAAAAAACTACGTACATAAATCCAAACATGGACTCTGAAATTTATTTTCCCATTCAAAAGTTACTAGACATCTGTTTGTTATATCTCGATGATTGATAAGCTTCACCAGTATTAGGAAAAAATTCTAAAAATATCTATTTGTTGCATCGAATAGTTATACTTAGTCTTTGAATTTTTGTCGAAATCAAGGTGCTACGACAGTATTAGTGATCAGTTAAGATCAGTGAAGCGTAAAACACGATTAGTAAATGAAACAGCTAGGTGGATGCTTCTTTTCGCAACTGGTGTATTTCGAAGCAAATTTGGGCGCAGATAAGGCACTAACCGCGAAATAAGTAGTAACGGAAAACTGCAGATTGGAAATAAGTTTAAACGATGCTTGTAATCAAATAATCTTCAACACACCTTAGAACATAACTCATGCAGTTGTCATGATAGGACATCGAAGGCAGGCAGGTTACATCAGTAGCTTTAATATGCTTAAATGTTTGATGAATAAATTGAAACCAAGCTTAAGTTTAATAGTATGCATAACTTAAAGGCGATTTATACATCAATATAGGATCCTGAGATTTTAGGGTGATGCTAAATAGATACCGCAATTATAAAGTTTTAAAGACAGCATTAACACAGTTATTTTAAAATAAAAATCCTGAGTCTTCTAACAAGAATGATCGGAAAAACCTATGAAACATTTCCTCCACAGAAGACATTGCAGATGCTTATGAAACACTTCGTTTGACAAACTTTCACTTTGTTAAGTGGAATGAAAGAAATAACCGCTGAATTTTATTAGACGAAGACAAGTTTTGATGTTGGAAATCTAAGTTTTATGCAGTAACTAAAAACGACATTGCTCTCAGGTATCTATGAATTTTAACATACAGCTTATAGTACAATAACTTAACAGAGTCATTTGATGACGATAATAAAAACCACTCTATAGCTAGTTACGTTACCTGAAAGCTAAAATGATAGGAAGCGGCCAAAAACGAAATCCGCATTCTAAATCCCTAGCCGGTAAAGGTAGAAGTTTGGGATTTCAATCCTATTTCATTTACTACATGGGCAGGGAAACTTTATCGAAAAACTGTGTCCTACAACTGAACAATGAAAATAAGCATCCAACTTCTAACCTAGAGACTTTATTTCCTGAGGAGAAACTGCATATAAGTGATGTGTCTTTTGTCAAATATTTTATCCTTCCTTACAGTTACAAGTCAGTCTTTGTCTTCTGATTTTCGCGGCTCAGTGAAATATAAGGTCTAAGGGAGAACAGTCGTTATTCGTATCCAGTTCAAGTTTCTCATTACGTTAACAGCGTTCCCGTATCTTGTATTGTCCCGTCAGTCCCTTCCACTTGGTCACTTCACCAAGCAAGAGCAAAGAAGTCTGTCTGAACCCATAGATCGATAATCTTAAGTCGGGCGTATCAACAACCGTGACAGTAGTCTATTGAATTAATGTCAAGAAAATTGGATTCGCATTCGAAGACAAACCATGAAAGGTTAAAGTCTCTCGATGTAAACTTCCAAATTAATATAGACGGGATAACACCAAATGATTTTTTAGGCAATAATTAATCCATTTTACTGCTTAGTTTCGATATTTACTCTAGAAAGTTTGTGGTGTCACAATCACAGTGAATTTTCTTTAGATCTAGAATATGCAGATGACATAGTCCTGTTAGGTGAAGACACTGACAAGATGCAGAGCCTTCTGAACACTTTTAGTGGGAATTTGAGAATGTTTGGGATGCGATTTTCACCACCCAAATGCAAAGTTTTGCTCCAAGACTGCTCTTCAGCGGTGAAGTGGTTGAGTGTGTGTGTGTGATCAACCCTGGTGGGTTAGTTGCCGATGAGATCTCTGCACAAATACAAAAGGCTCGATTGGCTTTTGTCAATTTGCGCCACCTATGGCGCCGCCGTGATATTCGTTTGTCTATTAAGGGTCGCGTGTACTGCACAGCAGTCCGCTTTGTTCTACTATATGGCTGTGAAACATGGCCATTGAAAGTGCAGGATACAAAAAGGCTTCAGGTTTTTGACCACCGTTGCCTTCGTAATACAGGACGTATTCCGTGGTGTCACCATGTGAGTAATGCAGAAGTTAGGTGTAGAGTTTTGGGGAGAAGAGGTAAGTCAGTTGACGAGGTTGTGAACCTTCATCGACTGAGATGGTTGGGACACGTACTATGTATGCCTAGTCACCGATCGCCTCGTCACACAATGTTGGCTGAAGTAGGTCCAGGCTGGAAAAAGGCCCGAGGTGGCCAGACTAAAACATGGCACCAATGTACGAAGTCTCTGACTGTTGGTTTAAGCCATGTAGGACGCTGCAGACTAGGTGGTTGGGGTCCACGGGACAAGAGGAACCAGTGGCTGGAGACCCTAGGTGATATGGCTCAGAACCGATGTCAGTGGCGCATATGTATACACACATTATCCTCATCTTAACAACGCTATACCGAATCTCACCATTTTGTCACTTCTCTTCATCCTTCACCTCACTACCTTTTTACTTCATGTGCTGATATGAGGTGTGGCAACTCGGACCGTTACGCAGTAATGCCTGGTCGTATGTTGATGATGATGGTGTCACAGTCCCAAGTTAAGTGTCACAAGCCGGCCCTTCTATTTACCGCGCAACTAAGTGATCATTAAGGGTAGGATTTAAAGGTTGTTTTGTCCAGTTGTTACCACGAACACACATGCAGTAGTGACGAATATGTCAATTTTACATCCTAAGACCGAGATTCAAGAGACATCATACACTACCTGTAAAAAGGGAAGAATACCCTAAAAAATAAGCAGATATACCGTATCCTTTATTTATTACTAGATGAACTAATGCATTGACTTCTGTGTTAGTCAACTACTTGTTTCGCATTCTGATAATCGTTCATTTTATAATTTAGAGAACTTTCATTTAGCTAAAACAATAAGTTGCTCTAAACAAATACTACTATCCAATTATTTCATATTCATAAAACAACCTAGTGATAGATCATTAGTTATTTCAGTATTCCATTTAGTCAAGCTTTCATGTATGTAATCAGTAAATACTTCAGTGAAAAGGAAGTGCAAGAAAAATAAAAGTCATTGACGTACCTTTGATTGAGTTTCTTTCCATTCTGCTAAGAATTTTGATGACTCCGGTGGTCGCATTTTCACCAACACCTCGATTGGAAGATACGAGTTGGTTTCCCATAAGCTTAAAACACGATTAATTTTAGCTCTTTGTTCATCATCGGCAATCTCAGTCGCCAGACAGAATACTATTGGTACCGTTTCTTGTAAGGCTTCCTATACACAAGTATTCAGTACATACAGATTACATGCTAAGCACATTTATTAAATAAACATTTAAAATCAACAAAAAGTTAGTGTCATGTGCGGACCTGCGGTTATGTTAACCAATGAATCATTATGGATAAGAGAATTCCAAATGAAATTATCATAACATACAACTCACTTCAACTAATTAGATATTAAATAGATTAGCTCGACGACCAAACTGACAGTGAAATTCTTAACTAAGTAAATGTCAGATAATCATGTCCAGAAGGGAGTGGTTACTACTACAACTACCTAAAGCTGTTAGAGCAAGCACTGAATGCACAAGTAGCATTTTTATAAACTCAACATAAGCCCACACTATCCGAAACCTGATTCCATGCTTTCATAATGGACATTATAATCACAATAAAAAAAATGCATGTTCTTATTACTGTTCACCTGTTATTACTACTACAGAATGTATCTTGGTAAAGTCAGTTGTCTTTTACTGAATAGTGTATACAGGTCACGGAATTCATGAAAGTTGGTTAGAGAGAGCTTGAGAAATCATGTTACCGCCTAAATAATCATCAAAAATTGATCAATTGCAACAGGGGTAAATTTTCCACCGAAGTGAAAACAGATTGAGCACAGTTATTAGAAACAGATATTCACCAATAAAACACCTCAAGACCATCTTTTGAGTTTGTTATGACATAAAGTAAGTAAGAAGAGGAACTGATGAACGTAAAATGATAGGAAGATTCACCAACTATAGTGAAACATAATGAACAAAAAGGATGTTACATTATGCTTTACTACCCTTGCTCAAGATCAGAAAATGCAATTACATGCCAATATCAAGATTTCAAACACTATCTAATAAACAACTGAAGCTCTGTGGTAAATTAAATACAAGACACTTACTGTAACACGATATGTGGCTTGTTGGTTCGACACTTGTCTCTTTTAAGTAATGATTACTACTCCGTCTACTACAACCTTGGCAACCGAATATTTGCTACTTAAACACCTTGGTATGTCTTACAGCAAATTGACCCTAGTCATCCTCTCAAAATGCTCTCACATGACCGAGTATTCACAGACTGCCAAGAAAGTCTTATTCCCTACCTTCACGTTGTAGGAATATATATACAAAGAAGAGGGTGCAAAAGCGAATGACTCGTGGATGTGCATCGTTCACCATAGTGAGCTGAAAGGCTGACTCCAAACCATTGGTGTGCATAGATTGACTGAATAGCGGCATGGGCCACCTGGTTGAGGACGGGGGAAATGAAGAAGATACCTAAACCTGTCACTAGCAACCAAGGGGAATACAGTATATAATTCACTCTGTTGCCCCGTGAATCAGATTTCAAGTCAAAGACTCGGAAAGTGGTTTGCTAAGACAACCGAATTTTCGGCTTCAGTGTTCGAATAGTATCACAGCGCGCATATAAATCATGAAATAACACTGATAACGAGGAATCCAATACGCTACTCAGTAGTTTCTACAAGTAATCTAACCTACTGCATTAAAAAATGACACTTAACTACGTACTGTAAACTTCACGATTAAAATTTGACCTGATAGAGATAGAGTTGAATAAGTTTTTATTGGATAAATGGATCATAAAATATATTTGTAAAATCCCAATGATTTTACAAATATATTTCATTTATTTCCTACGCATCATTCCAACATTGCTATTGATGCATATAAACTGTAGTGTTTTCTCTCGATCATTCCCAAATTAATTTTTATTTGCATTAGTCAGCTGCTTATTACTGACTAAAGTTTGAATCTACCTGCATCGTTGTTGCAAGGATTTAGTCCTACGGTGCAATATCTGATCCAACTATTCTAAATCCAAAAGCATTATTTAAGTTGGCCACCTTTAATGTTCGGACCCTGATGCAAATCAAACAGCAGGCAGGTTTGGCTAGGAATATGGGAAGCCTTATTATTGATGCACTCTATATCTCAAAAGCCCACAAACAATTTCCCAGAGAAATATTGCCAATAACTTCACTATATATCAGCCAAAAGAGTGTGTTCACAGTGAAATTCCATATTAGACTGTTTATTTGAAGTAACACAGTGATAGAGTATTACTTACTAGATAAAGTTCCAAGCAAAATGTATTGCTCATGTTCATATCAAAGTCACGCAGTAAATAATACTCTATCACTGTGTGCTACATCAAACAAACAATCTAATATGGAATTATGCTCTACAAGTGTCCATGTTTTACTCCTGCATTATTATTCACAGTGCATCTATATTGAGACCTTGCAGGTGCTGGTGTCGTACTAAGTACCACAACACAAAGCTGTATCGGTCAAGTGGCTTTTCACCAGCAGTCAGTTGCTTGTTGTTAGGTTAGAAGGTTCAGTTAGAATAAGAAGTAACTGACAAGGTAGACGACGGTTCTTCAGCAACTATGCTTACGCCCAAACCGACTCCAAACTGGATACAGAAGAGAACTTTGTCATTAGTTAGTTGACCTATTCAGTTAAACTCACTAAAAAAATATCGCATTTCTACCCTGGAACTTGAATGAACAGATGAGGCTTCTAAGCCTAAGAGATGATCACTTGGCTGGGAAAGTGAGATTGATCCTTCGCAGGATGGATGATAATGGCGCTCATCTGCTACAGGTTTCTGCAGGTGACAATCCATTTCCAGCATGAAAAGAATCTAAGTAGAACCATCACAGTTGTACTACTTAGTATTCTTCCACCAGTCACGCTTCAACCCAAATATACCACACTGCAATGGGCTACCGACTGTGAGTGTATTCAACTCTTTATAAAATACACACATGAACTTTGATCAGACTTTACTGCGTTTATCTTATTTCTCTCCGCTTAACAGGCCGAATCAATTCATTGCAAATAATTAACAAATCAAGCTTTATTCGAGGTTGGCAGTCGAACCTCTGGAGGCTATTTTAATATTAGTTACACGTACATGACGGCATGAAAATAGAACAGTAAGGATGTTTGTAGGTTTGAAGAATGTCCCACTAATAAACATTGTGGGGGGGGGGGAGTTCCTTGCAACCTCCTAACGCTAATCAGCATATTTCAGCAAACGAGAACACCAAACTCGGGTAGACCAGGCCTGAAAGAGGATGTGTCGACTAGATCTTCACTATCCAACAGGTTTCGGAATAAAGGCATACTTACTGCCATATTTCTTGATGCGAATGTGGTATTCAACTCTGTTGACCGAGAGATATTGCGGTGGTGTCTGACTGCGAAGGGAGTACAGAACCAATAGGTAATCTTAATCAAGGCTCTACGCGAATTTATGTAGTTGGTGTAACGGTTGATATGGAGTCGTCAACTGAAGGGACGACAACCAGTTTTGCTTGCAAAGAATGTTCACTGTTACACCTCTTGCCTTACTTCGTTATAGACATGCTGAGTACGTAGAGATTGATTTATTATCCAGAGGGCGCCCAGTTGACCTAGAGTACACATGCCATCTAGGTGAATACGATGACAAAATGCAGGGTCTTATGAACACCTTGAGCATGAATCTGAGTATATCGCATGTGTTTTGCATCTATTAAATTTCAGATGATGCTTCACGATTGATCTGCAGCTACTTACAGTAAAGCAGCAGAATTTTTTACTACTCCACTTGCTTGGAAATTCGCACTATCACAAGTGAGTTGACTGCTGTCAAAATTCAGTTCGGATACAAAAAGCCTATTCGATTGGCACTTGGCAACTGACGCCATCTCCAGAGACAGTAAGATATCTGACTACCTATTTCAGAATTAGTATACTATGTCATAGTTCACTCTGTCCTATTGTATGACTGAAATATGATCCTTCAAAGCAGAAGACATGAAGAGACCACAGGTTTTTAAACACAAGTATTTTTGAAGCATTACATGCGTGTGGTTAAATTACTGTGTGATCAATGTCAGGACTCGGGTGCTAAGTAAGGCAGGCACATCACCGACTAAGGTGTCTTGAAAATATATTGCACAGGCCAAATCATTGCGTAAGTCACAGCAAGTTCCGGAGACGAAACAAAGCAGTGGTTGTAAACCGTGAGTGAAATGCCTAAACATCGATCACAATGGAGTAGATTTGGTGGCTCACTGATATCTTAAGCTTGAAAATTCCCCATAACCCTGATTTTGAAATTCGATTTTCTCTTATACATTTCTGTCTACTTTGATTTCACTTTTTTCGCACCCAGTTACTTTTTGCATGCTGGTGTGGTGTGGCGACTTGAACTAATGCACTTTTGTCTGGGGTTCCACGGTAATTTACTTATCTGTCGGTAATCTTATACCCTTGGCATCGGAAGACCACATGGCAAGCGGGGTAAGTGCTTTTATTGACGCTGATCTTCTCTACCTCACGCCATCCCGATGGTAGGGTCGCATTGGTATAGATTCCTGGTCATTCAAAAGAAATAACTATACGACATCACACCCCTTCCAGCCAAGAGTACAACTTCGTCCTTGAAGCCCTATCACAGTACAGCTACTTACACTATGACGACAACTGCTCTTGTTTTACCAACATCTGAGAGACCTTTCTAGGATGGTAGAACCTTAAGGAACAAGTGTTTCAGCTGGTTGAATCATTGTGGTATGCAAGTCGAACCACACAGTCAATGTAGGATTTATCGGTCGAAACACCCTCTGTTCACTAATAATACTTGAGGTGTATAGACTTCGATAAGCAGAGTAGAGCTAAGACTCACGAACCACTGACAAAAAAGTAAATAACTAAAGGAATGAGCCATTTCTGTTATTCGAGTATGATAAATAGGATGCCACTTAAATTTTATTTAAATTCGAACACAAAGCACGCTGAAGCATTCATACAAATTTTCAGTTTAAAAGGACTAAATAACATACCTGTAAATGAACAGGAGCACCACGACGTTTAGAGTGATGAAGCAAATCGTTCAATAGGTAAACTAAATGAAGTCTTAGATCGAAAGAAACATGAATAGCACTGGCACGAGTTATTAGATAGTCAGACATTAGCTTGGTTAGTTCAGGTGATTCTGTCATCTTGTCAACAATCCAAGATTTCCCTTTTGATATGTTTTCTTTTGTACATGCTTCAATGAGTGGTTGAATCATCTAAAAAAAATGTTTGTAGTATCCAATTATCACACTTCATGAATAGATAATACTAAGTAGAGGAGAATTTTCAAAACAGGTAGACCTTTTACGAATCAATTTTCACTTTTTTACTATACATATTACTATGTATATTCATCACAAATAACTCAAAGTTAACAAGTACCACTTTGATACTGCACTTATATGACTTGAAGGATTTGGATAGCTGAAGTATCGTAGCCTATGATCAAATCACTGATATACAAACCCTATAAGAGTTGTGAATGCCAGGCTGCTGTGCACCTTGATACATGATATTAATCGAAGTGGGATTAGTAAATAGTACTGTTTTACTGTGTGGCAGATCTGATATATCAACTGAAATGGAAGTGAGGTTAGGTTTTAAAAAAGCTAAGAGTGACCAGACCACTCTATGACGTATAAGAACACTGATCTGAATTGCGTAAAAAATGTCGAGTGCCCCGATGGGATCCTCTAGGTTTTAGGAATCAATGTCCAGAAACTCTCAGTGATACGAATTGAGATGCGTTACAATGGCACAGGTGTATTCAACCACATTTATATCATCGAAATTTTCAGTATTTTAATTAACTTCTATTTAGATTTCTTATCCTCTCATACGATACTGTTTACTTTAATACCACTTCCTCTTTACGTGCAGTTGTAAATTGTGGCAAATTAAAATGATACACTGATGCGAAAGGTTTGAAGCTGATTTATCCGTGTTTTTTCCCTTACGAGATAAAGTAAGGTGGTACTTTATGACTGACTAGTACTTGAACGAGTAAACAATTTTCTGTTTTTGTTGTTTGTAATGATGAGTTCTGTCCGTGTGTACAGCGGTTGTCATAACGAAGACCAAACTAATAAATACTGAAGTGAAATACTGAAACAAATAAATGCACACAAATCAGATCCTGTTGGTGTATTTTAACTAAATGACAGTCTTCATATAACAACTGAATCCTTACTAAAAGATGAAACAACTGCCCAACTGATATTACTGTAACTAGTAGACTGATAGTATTGTTAATAATATATAAAAGATGCTGCATATGCTAACCTGATTCCGAACTACCTATAGGATAATAGAAAGTTAATCAAAGGTAAAATGAAGGTCACTAGTATACCAATATTCGCCACAAAGTCATAGGCTAAATTTTCGACAACTGTTAGTCATACCAAAATTTAGCTACATAGCAGCCAGATACTTCCGATGCCAGATAGAACAGCAGCCCTATACCTAATGGTAAAAATTTAATGGTAGATCATTAACCTTTCCGTCATTCTTAATCAACCACTTCGCAGTTTGATTTGCAATTAAATTATTGTATGAGACTGTGTACTTCATTAAGAATCACTGAATGAAAACAGCGAGCTGACCAGCAGTTTTGTCTTTTATTATTTACTCAGTTGAGCTTAAAGAACATTTACTATCTAATTACGGTAAATCGACAGCATCAAAGAAGCGAGGTAAGCAACCAGAGTAGTTACTCGGTCTAGTGTGGAGCTAATTAAATATTATTTCGGTATTTTCCCTAAACACAAGTGAACAGTTGAAATATCCTACATATTAGAACATGATCATCGGAACTTCGAAATTTCACGTCTTTCTCCACTTGATCAACTTGTCACATTCTTCACTAAACTTGGAGCGAAATTAACTACCTTTTTATAACTTATGATGAGCAAGACATTATTCGGAATTGAAAGGCACTTTCATAAACTAAGTCGACTCCAACTAAGTATTAAAAACAGAAATATAAGCTACATTGTTTCAGAAAAATAGACCAGATATTAACATATAATGTGACCACAAGCAACAGAGACATATTTTTAATTCACTTTGAATCAGACAAAAACAAAAATGCATAACTCACCTCATTCATCTGCTCCCAAGACATATTTAATTTTTCCCCCACTTTCCGAACATTCTCCTCTCTTTTACGGTCCAAGAGCTCATGGATCTCAGCTTCTTGACGAGTGAGTAATGATTCATGTTGAGCGGCCAAATTTTTTTCACTCTGTTCAATATCAGCTTCTCCCAATTCAGAACTATTAGAAACCTGGTACTCATATGAAGGTCTTGGTGCATGATAAGAATCAGGCCCAAAAGGATATTGCTGAGGTGGAAATGCTCCTTGTTGTGTAGGGTAGCCATACTGAGGATGATTATTATAGTTCCCATGATGATAATCTACTGTGTCGGGGTGAGGATGATATGGATAAGCAGGCGGACCGCCATGCATACGCACACCTTGCGGATAAGACGGCCACTGTGGTTTTGTATACCAGGATGGGTCTGGACCACCCCAATTACAATGTCCTTGGGGTGTTGGCCCATAACGCTGCCAGTGATCAGCGCCTCCAGCATACTGATCCCATTGATCATTCATATTAACGCGGTTGGTCCTGCAATCAAAACCCTTTACAAAAAACAGAAGGTTCGATTGAGACAAAATAGCAAATACAATTGCAATTTACCGGCTTATTATTTTAAATTATAACTGATAGAATCGAAGTACAAATAATTTTTCCCAGCAGTGAAATCAGATATGCATAATGACCCTAAATGTCAAATACATCCAAGGATTTATGACAGCTGATAGGGAAAAAAATGATGCTTTTAATCCATCAACATATTGATTAGTAACAGCCAAATGTCATCTTTAAGATGAAGAAAAGGAGGAGGAACATCAAAATAAGCAACACCGGGGCTGAGTCAGAACCTCTGCTTTTATACGCAAAACAGCTGCGGAGAATTCACTGGAATAAGATTATCTGATTACACTAGTAGCAAACGTATATGGACTGAAAACAAAAAACACCTAAATTGAAAAACAGGAAAGTGAAGATTCAAGTCAAATGCGGAGAATCACTATCCCTGTGAGTTTATACTCCTGGTTTTAATGTAAAGGCAACTGATACAAATGAATAATACCAAAGCCAAAATAATACAAGAAATCTTTGACTAAAAAATGATAGCTTTTAAGTTACTCTACAGAATACGCTTTACTAGTGATAGGTCATGATCAAATAGGTTAAATGTTGAAATACAGGTACAGTAGTCAACTAGTTTAATGAGCAAGTGGGAAAATTAAGTTTAGCTAAAAAACATCTCAAGAGCATCTTTTAAATTCAAGCCTTCATAACGTATGACGGCAATTGTTCTACGTAATCCACTGCTGACAATTGCTAGTTCTCACCCAACTTCGAACATTAGAAAACTATCATTTAACTTGGCAGTAGCCGCTATTAATCAAACGATTCATACAGACAGTACCATTAACCAGTGTTGGAGGACTGACTGGTAGGAAACTAGTGGAGCTGTGGATCACTGCTTAAGGCATTTGACCTTCAGCCAGTGGGTCAGGAGTTCGAACACCGCTTCACCTACTCAGGTCTAGGTGGCGAGATAGTATCAGTAACCCTAACACAATGTGTAGCTTACTTTGTACTGCACGAAGGTACATGCGGTTGCTGAGTGCAGTTCGATTTTAGTAAGAAACTGTCATTCTTTGAAGTGCCTAATTGAGCTTTATTCAAGGAGAAATTCTTCCCATATTTAGCTTTAAGATGAGAATATGATATCGGTACCCAAGGAGTTACCAAGATGTGTATGAGTGTAACGGCTATTCTTATTCTAATGCGACTTGATATTGTATTTAGTTTGACATAGTAAAAGCTAGGGACAGTGACTTCCAAACAAAAGTTAACAAAAATTCGCCTTTTAGTTGACTCAAAATCGACAGCAGACTAGGTGAAAACTGACCACGAGCCAAAAATGATAACTAAAAGTTAGTATTCAAACTAAAACACTACTTACTGCTTAGGAAACAAAGACGCCTCTATGATTGTTAACCATTGGAATTTATAAAGGTTTGCGACCACGCTAGTACGCCATCCCTAAGTTCAACTCCGCTCACATGATGGTTTCATGATACGTGAACAATACTATAGAGCCGAAAACCTGTAGTTTTCTTAGCTTTACAGCATGTTTCTTGTTGATAGGTAATCAGTTAGTTTGCCAGCACTAGAAATGACAGATGTTGGCAGATGCTTAACGGGGCTTTTGTACTCAAACTGAGATTTTACTATTGAGTGTTGATGTGACTTCCTGAGCAAAGTGATCAATGCATCGCACCGCTTCAGTTTCTATCATAAAATTAGGAGTGGCCGCAGACCAATCAAACAGCAGTATACTATAATTAACAGAAACGAAACGCATTTTAGATATACACTTTTTTCTAGTGTTCAGAAGACCTTGCATTTTTTTCAGCAACATCTTACAGCGTTATTGCATACTCTAAGTCTACTAGATGACATCTGAATAATAAGCTAATTCCGAATAAGTGACTGGTATACATATCCAAATATTACACATATAACAAGGCCATACAGTGAACACGTGTGCTAGAAACTACTGACTGTCATTGCCATACAAAATGTCTTCACAAGCAATTAAACATATGTGACTTTGAACAGCGAGCCATGATCAGCAAAACAGGCTTGCTCCGTACTCCTTTTTTCATGCTATTACAACTCTGGTTTGACGATAAAATGGAATACTGATTTCAGGCACCGTAATTGTGTTTCAGAATTTATCGAAGAGCACAAATCTGTTCACTGATTTGGAACTAACCTATTTTAATTGAGTTTACTGTTCCCAAGACCCAATTACGGATCGGACGAACAGGAACCCTAGGATCTTATATATGATGTTAAGCCACTCAGCTGGAAGACGAGGACGTAAAGTTTTTATTTAGAAAAGAGACAGCTAAGCATCAGTATGGACATGACATCAATTCTCATCTTGATGAAGCCCGGTGTGATATTCAGTCTGTCGCAAAAACAGCGGATCACAAAAATCCAAAGCGTAGCAAAACCCCACGGATTCCCGCAACCTTACCACAAGTGACTGATCGCAACATGGCTTACTCAAGCTGACTAACTAGTTTCGACCACAATGAGGAACGAAAGTAGATCAAACCTCAAATGATCAAGTCTTTGCGATAAATATGAAGAGCGGTAGGTAGCGAGGATCGAAAAGATCCACAGGGCATCAGTGTTAAGCAATACTGACAGCTATTTAAATTTATTAAGGATACGTGGAGTTGGGGCTCAGTGGTTTAGAGAGATGACTACCAACCATTGGGGTCACGGGTTCGAACTTCACTCTATCTACCGAGGTTTGGGCAGTCAGGTAGTATCACCAGTCCTCACACAGTAAGTGTGGCTTATTGCCTGCTGGACAAATGTGGACAAGGTAGCTGAGTACGTTTTATTAGAAATACTGGCAAGAAGACGACTATGCTCTGTGAGATCATTACCGAAAAGAATAGGACCCTGATAACCTCGCACTAGAGACGGATAAAACGTTGAGTGGAACACTTTGAATAACAGTTCAATTGGTCCACACCAACGCTTCAGTTGCCCAGCATTCTGTCGAAACCTGAATGAGGTGTAGATGTCAGTTCTCCAACTCTACTCGAAGTTGAGAAGCTTGTTTCTAATCTGAAACGACGTAAAGTAACAAGACTTCATGGAATACCAACAAAAGTCTTGAAGGAAGCAGATAGGAAATAACTGAGTAGAGCTTCTAGAGGGAGTCACTAGACAGTGCATGACAAACACAGTCTCATTAGACTGGTCTACATCACTAATAACTGAAGTCCATAAGAAAGGAAAGAAGTTTCCTTGTGACAGCCATAGGAGGATTAGTCTTACGAGCATCGTGTTCAAGATGCCAGAGTCGATAGTTATGCGACGTGTAACTGCACCTCGAGGAAAGCAAACTGGGGCAAACCAGGCCGGTTCCAGTCGTCAACGGTGGTGTATCGATCATATCTTTATTAGCCAACAGGTTTTGGAATACAGGCATAGTAACCGGGTACCGACGCACGCGATACTTATTGACGTGAAGGTGGCATTCGACTTTGTCGGCAGAGAGGTATTAACGTAGCGCATGATTATGAGGGGAGTACTGAACCAATTGGTGGTGCTGATAAAGACTTTCAACTCGAACTCATGCAGTAGCGTAACGCCTGATACGGAGTTGTCATCTGAAGTTATGATAGCTAGAGGTATCCGCAAAAGATGCTAACTGTCGCCGTTTCTGTTTAGCTTCGCTACAGATGTATTCATGGACATAATCTCAGGCAACTCTGAATTTATAGGGAGTGATGTACTCTAATTGACTTAGAGTACGCAGATGACATTGTTCTGTTAAGTGAAGACGCCGACGAAATGCAGGAACTTCTAAGGTTCCTAAGCAGGAATCTATGTTTGATATGGATTTCGCACCTGTCAAATGTAAGATGATGCTTTAGAACTGGTTTGTAACTGGTCCAAGTTTATGGATACGGAGTGGTGGTGGAATATGTGGAATGCTTCACTTACTTATCTAGCTGCATCAGCTCGAAAGGATTAGTTATTTAAGATCTCAGCTCCAAAACAAAATGCCCATTTAGCATATACTAACCTGTTATATCTAGCATCAACTACCTGTTAGGGTTATCCAGTTGTGAGATATGACCGTTGAAAGTGTGAGATATGAAGATACTATAGGTCTCTGACCATAGATGTTTTAGTAACATTGCCCGCGTTTCGTACAGTCACCATGCTAGCAATATTGATGTAAGGTAAACGGTTCTAGACAAGAAAAACAAGTCTCTCGATGAGACTGAATCTTAATCGACTGAGGGGGGCTTAATCATATGCTACAAATGCTGAACCACCACCTACTTTAGCGTGCAATGGTAGGAGAAGTTTGGTTAAGTTGGAAGAGGCTTCAGGGTGGCCAGACTACGACGTGGCACCAGTTCATGAAGTTTCTGATTGTTGGTCTGAACCGTGCAATGAAGATGTAAATTACCTGACTGGGGTCCGTGTGATGATAGGAATTAATGGTTGACGACTTTTGGTGGAATGGCTGGAAAAAGGTCACAATGGTGTAGATGCATTCACTCTTTGACTTCTATATCTTGAATGATTTGACTAACTCGTTTCTAAATTTCCTCTACCCCCATACACATTTGTCTACTTTGATAAGTCTTTCTTATTCATTTGTTCCTTGCATACTACTGTGAATTGCGGCAACTTGAACTCATGCACTTGTATGGGAGGTTCTACGTTGATTTTGTCTCTGTCTTCCCAACCAAATGAAACACTAAGACATACAAGTGGAAAAATAGCGGAGAAAAAGTGGGTGATTACAAAAGCAGTCAGGAAATCCCCCATGCTTTTGTTTTACTTCCGGATAGTAGAAGCAATAAAACGGGAGCATGGTCACCATTGGTTTCGATTCTGCGCTATATCTGCTATCATCTCGAGTTATTGAGTTGCACCTTATTTCGGATCCCATCCATGGAGTTGTGGGGCGCCTACATACGCTAACCCAACGCAACCATTTACATTGCTGCTTGTATTATCCCATCGTTAACTGAACCGAATTGACCGATCACTATTGGAATATATGTTCTTGCGCCGATTCCTTGATATTACCTATCGTTTCAAATTTATGGCAATGATGGATAGCGTCTAGCAGCTGAAGTCAACACAATTATCCTTCACCTCATGGCTGTGTTACACCGGCTACCCCTACGTTTCTCCAAATCAGTCCCAGAGCAGCTGAACAGTGAAAGGTATGTGAATCCTTGGGACGACAAGTACCATATCCACGTAGTCAAAATCAGTGTTTTGAAATAGTCACACTCAAGGAATGACAATTTGCATCAAGCCTAAACATGCAACGATATCTCAGAATTACATATACAGCGTTTCCACCACATAAGGTGACTAGAAACTGTTTAGCATACTATCTTAGTGGCTTCCGTGCTGCTCACTGTTCCCTTGGCCTTGGACTGGTTTCGGGAAAAGAAAGTGGCAGGATTTGGTGAAGGATAGTTGTGTTGGTTTAGCATCTGTAGGCACCTCGCGACTCCATGGATGAGGTCCAAAAGAACATGCAACTCAGTAGTTTGAGACGATACCACACGTGGTGCAGAATCGAAACCAGTGGTGACCACGCTTTCGTTTTCTTGGCCCTATTACTGGAAAATAAGACAACAGCAATTAATGCCTCTTGGAAGTTTCTTTGCATCGCTTAGAAATCCAATCTCTTCTCTCTCCGTTTTCTCGACCATCTTTTGTCTTTATAATGTTACTTTCTTATTTCTATGGTGTAGCCCTCGGTGCTCACGTCGAACTTAGTCTGTTTTGTAACAATAATAATAATAATAAGGTAATAGTAACAATAATACCCCCCTTACTAACCGCAACTAACGGTGACGCAAGGTGGTTGTAATAAAACCAATTAGGATGGAATACATAGGATGGGTCAGAACTAGGGAAATGAGAGTTCCGCTTTTCTGCTAAACGATGATTACTATGTACAAACCCAGTCAAGAAACTAATTGTACAACAAACCCACCAAATGTGAGCAACTTTACCGTTAAAGACGGGCAAACTCTGTGGAAAACAACAAACTTTAACTCTGATAGGTAGTCTTCGGGATGCATAGGAAACCCTAATAGTAAAACTAAACAATGTACACCTTTCGAAAACAGCGATTCATCGTATCACTCATTAAATGAACAGCATATGACGCAACTAAAACTACTAAACCTTCACTGCACAAAAAACGTCATCTTTTAGCGAGTTATACGCTTAGCCTACAGATTCAAGCATATCACTACAATGGCTACCAATAAAAGATTCTCTGGTGTGCATTACAAACTACAAAAACCCTGAAACAAAATTATCAAAAAGTATTACTCCAACCTGAAAAGATTTATCTTTCATTGGATATTGCTGCTGCCAAACTTTACGAGCTTCGTTTACTCTAAAGATATAGTATTCGTGAAACTCGCCACCTCGGAGAAATGCAAACTTCGGGTTGTCTCTCTGTTTTTCGATTGTTAGAGCTTCGAATTCCGGCCCATTCCTGGCCACAAACTCGGCCAATTTATCAATAATGTTCTGTTGTTCAATGTCAACTGGAGGTAAAGGTGACGCCATTTAGCTGCCACGAGATCAAGTCTTCCGATATTAGTATCTAGGCCTAAGCTTCCATTTGAGTCATATATATCGTTTAAGCAAAACTTCAGTGGTTGTTTTCTAGTAGAAAGTTAACAGTAGCGCTTTTCGCAAGCACCTAAGGTCCACAAAACTAACTTTGCAAAAGACACGTAACAACTCTTATTTACCGCCTTTCTTTTGCAAGCGAATAAACGACATATGAAATACCCAGACTTAAATTTTTAGATATTTGTGTTCCAAAAATAGTGAACTGGGGTTTTCTTGTGTTTTGCTATCGTGATACTAAGAATAGACTTCATGTGTGGATTTTTACCCCAGTTTGTTTTGAAGTCTAAACTTCATTTCATAAGAGTAATGGATATTGTTTCTTCACTTCTGCATCCCACACCATCCAACATAAATAGCGCAAGTATGAAAGACTGGTATCTTTCAAATCTTCACGTCTAGCTACTCAGGCCTGTCGTTTTTCAGCCTAACTCTTTGGGTGGTCACAGTCGTTTACATGTGGTTTCGGAAGCGGTGATAGTCTGAGTGGAGGTTTTCCATTTCTGATTGAACATAAGTCGCTCAGGGGAGCTGCACGGCTTCTGATAAGGTCAATGAGTTATCAGCAACACCCAACCTTTATCTGAAAGCCAATATTTAGACGCTAACCTACAATTCTTTTGAGATTCAGTATGGCTACGGATGCGTGAAGACAAAAAGAACAGGCGGAAAGTAGTACTGATACTAGCGATAATACAACAAAAGTGTGACGAATCATACAGGGTGCTGAAGTGGAGCTGCAGACAGATAAAGAAACATATCTTTTAGTACTGCTGGAGCATGCATTCAGTTATTTCAAAGTATTCTCTCTGTATGTTTCACATCTTTCTCATAAAACAGCAAAGAAGGTCTTGGGTTTCATGATGACAGAGGAAGTGGACGCCATTTCCAGTTGCCACTGAGATGCCTGAAAAGCATACGGTGCACTATAGTCAGTAGTCAGACAACTAGGTGCTACCAACTTGGAGCTGTTTTGGAATCTCCACAAGATGTACATACTATCCCGACTGGAAGTCCATAACGTTTTCGCTCCACTACACCTGAAGAGGGGCACTAGCCTCCTGCAGAAAGTTGAGAGGAAGGCCATTAACGGGGTTGTGGAGATGCGCCAGAGACCATACTGCTATGGACTAAAAGACCTAGGTCTATACTCTCCTAATTACCGAAGGTTACGAGGTGATTTGATAATTTCTAACAAAATACCAGACAACCCAAGCCACCAAGCGGCCACTATGGTGATCCCTGTGGAGACCCTTACAGAATTGTCCACCACGGGTCAGAAACTGGTAGGCGTTCATATTTCTTCTCCCTTCGAGTCTGCGAGTACTGGAATGCATTATCAGCAAAGGTAGTCTCCACCCCGTCTGTTAAAAGTTTCAACAACGCCAGGAGGCTACTCAGAGATTCACAATTTACGCTCATTTGGTTGGAACACGAGCCAGACCGAAGAAATCAACTGCTTTCACACCGTTCCATTCATGTTAATTCCGCACCAGTTTTCTTCGTGCTGTAATCACTTGAACACTTTTCATCCCTCTCACTCTCTATGAATTAGCCTCACCTATTTAAGTCCTAAGCATCTTTGCACCCGTTTAGTTTTGCTTGGATGTGAGCAGATCACTCCATCATTTCACTTTTCATTATCTTTTTCTCACACACGCTTGTCTTCCTGGGTCACCTCTTCATTGTTTCTAACTCTCTCCAGCGACAAGTCCGAGCAGCCGTCTGGAAACTCGACATCTGAAGAACTTAACTGCGTCGCAGTAGAGGCAAAACAACCAACGCTCAGCCACCTGCTCTGCATATCAGAACTGTTGGTTACAACGCCAACTTTGAACAATGCGCGCTTTTGATACTGATAATGGAACCTATCTATGTGATGGGAGATGGCAATCCATATCCGTCTCGTGAATTTCAGCAACTTTCAATAAGATTATGCACACTAATGACTTGATATGTAAATTATTTAATACTAGATACTTTCAAAGGTTATGAATTTGACGGTGCTTGTAAACTGGTATCCCTCATGTCAAGCCTGTTAAATGAAGGCGACATTTACTATTATCTAAACTTTAATACCCTATGTACGCTGCAAAGTAATATTTCCTCGTTCATTTCATTACTAGCAGGACCTTCGGCAGTTTTTTTTAAAATTTTTTTAAAATTGAGTTTAATGACATTCCATCAGTACCACTCAGGGCCCGAATCTTGTAGACACTTTGAGATGTATCAACGTGGTGAAGCCTGTAAACTGGCTTCCCTCATGTCAAAATCTTTTTTTAACACGAGAATAAAACATTTATTTATTTATTTATTTATAGAAGACGAGAGGCTGGATTTACTGAATAGGAACCTGCCGAGGACCTGGAACCGTTCCGCAAGACCTAAAAGCGAGCGAGAAGAAGTCAGCTGGTTGACACAAGCTCGTTCAACAGATTTTGGATAGCGGACACTCGCTTGACACAGTCAAGCGCGGAGGTAGCTTCTTTCAACGCAGGCTTGCACAACAGGCATAAGTCAAGCGAAAATTTAGATGACGGCTGCGACGGAAAAAGTGATCTGAGAATCCCTCCTGGTCACCTCATTTGACAGTATTGCCATTTGCTCATGCAACAACTGTGTAAAGACGCCACATGTCAAATAATTCACAATGGGAAGCTCAGTGATGCCTTTGAGGTGAAGACAGGAGTAAGACAAGGCTGCATACTATCACCCATGATATTTCTGATTGTGCTGGACTGGATCATGCAATAAGCAGCGAGGAGAGAGAAGAGGGGGATACGCTGGACTGCGGAAAAGAACGTAGAAGATTTAGATTTCACCTATCTAGGCAGCACTGCCTCAACTATAGGCAACACAGGCACAGATGAAGGTGCCTAAGAAGCTAGGATCGGAAATATAACAAAGCAGGCGTTCATTAGCCTGAAACCAGTGTGGAGATCTTCTGCACTCAGCATGTGGAACAAGATCCGGACTCTCAACACCAACGTCAAGTCAGTTCTTCAGTATGACTCATAGACCTGACGCGTTAAGGAAAGGATTTACAACAAAGTACAGACATTCATCAACAACTGCCTAGGCTGGCTTGTTACTGAAGATCAGATGGCCGGAAATAATAAGCAACAGGGAACTCTGACTGGCTGGTAACTGACCAGCCAAGAACCTATCGCCCAACAAATATGCAGAAGTGGAGATGGATTGGTCATACACCGAGAAGGCCGGCTGGAGACATCACGCATCAGGCCCCCGGGTGGAAACCCGATGGGAAGCGACGAGTTGAGCGTCCGAGGTGAAGGGTGATATGGAGGAGATCTTGTGAGGAAGAAATGAGAGACCGTGTGCTGTCATGGAGACAGGTTCAAATTATTGCAGAGAACAGAGTGCACTAGAGACGTGCTACTGAAGCCCTATGTTCCATTAGGAACCCAAGGGGCAGATAATAATAGTAGTAATAATGATAATGATAATAATATTATGGATATTGTGCCTTTGACCCTAGCCGATGTAGTGTTATTTGGTTATCTGACTGTCTTCCTTGACCTTGCGTCCATTATTTGTCTTCGTTTGATTGAGGCTTATCATGGGTGCTTTACTCTCCCGTTATGTGACGCTGGACTGTTGGTGGCATGATGTTGTTCTACCGCGTCAGACATTTTGCTTTGGTTCAACTTTCGGTTGTGATGTGATTTGACTGGCTGCTGGAGACGTCTATTTGTTGATTTGATTCTGGTACACAGAGTTTTTAATCCCTTTTTTGATGGGAATATTCTTATCGATTCTCAGATATTTAACAATTGTACTTGTTTAACTGATTTTTACTGTACAGTACTTACTTGTGCCCGAAAACGTTTGGACTGCATTGTTACCCAATATCACTGTTGAGGTACTTCTGCACTTCGATGTAACTTATTGTTGCTTTGATAGTACCACAGATTCGTTACGAATCCATCACCAATTTACCATAAGTCGTATCTTTTTATGTGGTTGATCCAGTGTTTGATCGTGCCTCACTCAAGGAAGTTCGGGTACTATGCATTAGAACACAGGGACTTATCTGGATCGTGTTAGTTTGGCACCGCTGAGTTGTTTCCAGCGTTTAGACCAAAGTAATGGATATTGGTTTTACAAAGGCCTCGTCCTACGTCTCCGGTGGGGTAAGCTATTGGGGCCGCCACAACTGTCCATCTCGAGTCGACAACGTCGTTCTGTTAGTAGTAGATTTTTATTCGTGAGCCTTTCTCCCTTCAATAACTTAAGGTGAGGACGACTAGTGGTTTTGGGTGCTTCGTGTAAGTTTTGCCCGTTGGCTTGACAACTGACTTCGTTTTCCTTCTCGACATCTTCTCGAGGATGCTTGCTTTTCTCCTTAGGAGAGGGGAGCTATCATGCTAAATACCTCCAGGTACTATCAGAGGTAAGTCTTGAAATCCGTCGTCAATAAACCTGGAGTGTAATATTAATAACGATGATTCAATTTATTCCAAACAAATTGTGGTACAATTCGGAAATCTCAGCAGGATATATTGCAAAGGCAACAAAATATATGTATATACGTACCACTTTACAACATTTCGAGTTGTGTCATTGTAAAAAATTAAGGAATGTAAAGGATGTTAAAAAGGAGAAAACCTTACATCGTTAGCTAACTTATTGAAATGAAATCTTTGACTGTTGCAAAGGTGATATGTGATTTCTGTTCCGACACTTTTGTTCACAAAATATGCTTGCTAGGTAAGGTACAGTCGAATTCTTATACTTAGCTTTACGGGCGTACAGTCTTGCGTAGTTTCTTCCTGTCCCCTCTGAGGAGATACATGAAGAGAGCCACAAATGAAATGGATGCTCAGCGTCAGTTGAAATTTCTGTAGCTAGTTGCCCGCTGGCATTTTAATGTATTTCAATCATGGTGTTAATCACATGATTCAGAGGCACGCCACTCACCCTGCTGATGGCTTTCAAAGCCTCACGCAGTGTAACACAGTTCTTTTTCAGGAAACCAGAGGGGATCGATAGGGAAAATATAGAAGAGTAGGTAAAATGCAGGAGTTAATAAATTGTGAAAGAAGAGGTTGAGTTGAACCAGGCAGCCTCAGTTTCTGTGTGTGATAAAACAAACGGAATATCTTTTACAAGT